GGGGATTTACAGTTTTTCCTTCGGTGTTAATCAACTTTGCGGCTGATGAATGTATGCTGGAGAGAAAGGTGTTCTCAGGCTCCACGGGCTGGGCCAGGAGCGGGTGCCTCCCAGGCAGTCACTTTGCACCCAGGCTGAATATTAATCGGCGTGCTTACGGGCCTTCGAGCCCTGCTCTCTCTCCCCTTCCCTCCCCTCTCCTCCCCTCCCTGCCTGCCTGCACCCCTCCCTCTCTCCCTCCCTCCCTCCCTCCCTCCCTTCCTTCCTTCCTTCCTTCCTTCCTTCCTTCCTTCCTTCCTTCCTTCCTTTCCTCCCTTCCTTTCCTCCCTCCCTCTCTCCCTCCCTCTCTTCCTCCCTTCCTCCCTCCTTCCCTCCCTTCCTCCCTCCCTTCCTTCCTCCTTTCCTCCCTCCTGACTTCCTCCCGTCCTCCCTCCCTCCCTCCCTCCCTCCCTCCCTCCCTCCCTCCCTCCCTTCCTCCCTCCCTCCCTCCTTCCCTTCCTTCTTTCCCTCCCTTCCTTTCCTCCCTCCCTCCCCTCTCCCACCGTTCCTCAATTCTCTCCTTCCTTTCCTTCTGTTCTCCCTCCTTCCCTCCCTCCCTCCCTCCCTCCCCTCTCCCAGCAGTGCTCAGGAGACCATGCTGTACTAGGAATGCAGCCAGTTCCCCTTGCCTGGGATGCCTGTGCTCAGGTCTTCCTTTTCTCAGTTGGGCGGTGACCCCAGGCGGCTCGGCTTGTGTCTCCCTGTCCCAGGCTCTCTCGAGTCTTTTCTCCCTGCCCATGTCCCTTTTCTCCAAGGAGCCATGGAGCAGGAGGCTGCCGTCAGGAGCTCTCGTGCCGGGGAGTGTCGCTCACCTTGGATCGTGTCTGCTCTCGCCGTTGCTCCGGGCACCCCGACCCCAAAGCTCTCCCCCATTTTCCTGATCCTTATATCGGATCACGACGTTGCTCCTCTGGCATCTCGCACACGTGACACCCTCTTCCAGGGCAGTGGGCCGAGTCCCGCTCACTCTCCCCTCTCTCGGTGTGGCTGACCTCCCAAGGGCTCCGCGGGCCTCATTGTCCCTGCTTTCCCCGTGTTGGTGTCCGCAGTCCAAGTCCAGATGTGTTGGCTAGAAGGTCGCTCACCTCGGATGCTCTAGTCGCAGCGGTGTGTGTGGGTTCAGGGACAGGCGGCATTTGCCAGGCTCCTTAGCCAAGAGGAGCATCTTTGGCTGAGGAACGTGTCGCGTGCCGGGGTAGGGAAACCCCCTTCGGAAACAGGCTCTGAGAAATCCGCGCCTCACGACGGGAGGGTGTTAATCAAAGGTGACTCTCAGATGAAAGGCAGATGTTTTGTAATGAGGCATAGCGACCGTTGGCTGCCAGGAGCAATAATAATCCGAATCAGTAGACAGGACATGTCCTCTTGTGGGTGCTTTGTGTGTTAAGTCACTTCTTGGACTTTTTCTATGTTCGGAGGCCCCGTGTCTTTGATGAACAGAACAGAATGCTATGTTTGAAGATTCTTCTAGGAGCTTGTCGCTCGTTATTATAAGTCCTCTTCATTCTTTTTTGTTTGTTTGTTTGGGGGCCACACCTGTCAGTGCGCAAGGGGCTGTTTCTGGCTCTGTGCTCAGGAGTCAGCCCTGGCAGTGCTCAGAGGACCATGTGGTGGTGTCGGGGATCTGTGCTGGGATTGGCTGCTTGAGGGCCAGTGCCTTCCCTCTCCATGCTCCTCCTCCGCCCCTCACCTGGATTTGGGAGAGCCAAGAGCTTATAACTTGTTGGATTACCTCATGACTGTGACCAGGGAACCGTTCAGAATGACAGATACAAAGTCGTCGTCCTGTCTGGGAACCAGACCCAGAACTGGGAGCAGAGGGAGAGTGCGGAAGTGCCTGGCTCACACGCCACTGACTCGGGTTGAAGCCCCAGCACTCCCGTTGTTCATTAATTTGCTTGAGCGGGCACCGGTAACATTTCCATTGTGAGACTTGTTACTGTTTTTGGCATATTGAATACGCCATGGGGAGCTTGCCAGGCCTTGCTGTGTGGGCAGGATACTCTCGGTAGCTTGTCGGGCTCTCCAAGAGGGATGGAGGAATCGAACCGGGGTCGGCAGCATACAAGGCAAATGCCCTACCTGCTGTGCTATTGCTCCAGTCCCAAGAGTGAAACGCTGAGAACAGCTGGGTGTGGCCCAAAGTGGCTCCCTCCACCCCACTTGGCAGCCAGCCAAAGGCGCTCCAGAATCCACAGAGCCCTGTAGAACCCCCGCACCCAGCAGGCCGCTCAAGGCGGCTCTCCGTGAAGCTTTTGACCTTTCTTCTGCCTGAGACACTTATCCTGGATGAGTCCAGTGAGCTTCTGTGCTACAGGCTGTCAATCACTTGATGCTTCTTCAGAGACTCTTTATTATTTATTTATTTATTTATTTTAGTTTGGGACCTCAGCCAGCAATGCTCAGGGGCTCCTCCTAGTTTTGCATGCAGTAATTACTCCTGGCTGTGGTCAGGGATCCCTGGGATCGAACCTGGGTTGGCTCTATGAAGATAAGCACCTTCCCCGCTGTCCTATTGCTCAACCTATTGATTGTTTAAAATGGGCTGCCAGGATGGAGTGATAGTAAGTAGGGCGTTTGCCTTGCACATGGCCAACCCAGGTTCGAATACAGTATCCCTTTTGGTGCCCCAAGCACTGCCAGGAGTAATCCCTGTGCATTACCGGGTATGACACAAAAAAAAGCAGAAAAAAAGAAAAGAAAAGAAAAAGGGCTTCGACCTCCAGCCCTATGGGACTCTTCTCCACAGCTGCGTCTTGACCCAATTTCGCTTGTCGCAGGTCTGACTGTCTCCTCCCCTCCTCTGCTTCACGCTCCTCAGCCACCCAGCTCACTGCTGTGCTTCCAGGACCTTGAGCAGTCCCTGCACCAAAGGCACGAGGTAGTGCCTGCTGAGGGAGGAGCAGGGCTGGTGGATTCAGAGCTGTCTGTATGTCCGTGCCTATATAAACTGTCTTAGAGCCACAGTTACTCTATGACAGTGAAGCCAACTCCACTTCCAGAGCAGTATCTGAGATGCAGATAAAACCCAGGGGCAGGAACCATATAGCACAGCGAGTAGGGCACTTGCCTTACGTGCAGCTGGCCTGATTTTGAACTCGGGCACCCCATAAGTTTCCCCCCCCGAGCCCACCAGGAGGAATCCCTGAGCACAGAGCCAGAAGTAAGTCTTGAGCACTGCTGGGTGTGACCTCCCCAAACAAAAACCAGATCCAAAGGAAGTTTTGTTGTTTATTGGTTTGGGGGCTGTATCTGTGGGTGCTCGGTGCTTTACTCCTGGCTCTGTGCTCAGGGATTACTCCTGGTGGGCTTGGGGGACCAGATGGGGTGCCAAGGATTGAACCTGGGTTGGCCGCATTCCAGACAACTGCCCACCTACTGTGCTGTCTCTCTGGCCTCTTATATTTTAAGTTTTGATTGACTTAAGGTACTGTGATTGACAATATTGCTAATGATGGCTTCCCATGTAAATGTTTCAGTACCTCACCCATCCCTGGTAAGGATCTCAATACCCTTCTATCCCCGACCCCAACTTTATAAACTCAGTTCTGTGGTTCCGTTCTCCCATTGTGTTGCCTTTAGCCCTTTGTTCCTCTCATGTTCTGTGTAAAGAAATTTTGATGTTTATTCTTCTCTCATTTTTTTTTCTCAGAGGCACAGACCTGCCCAAGTTCTTACCCCATAGTAATTCATATCAAAACATTTCGTTCCCTTCTGTTTGGTAGTATCCCAAGTTCCTTGGGTGCGGTCCCTTCTTCCCGCAGAAATAAGAAAGAGATTTGTGCCATCCAAGGCCACCATCTCTGCCCCCTTTTTTCCTCCAGAATGCTTGACCCTCCTCTCTCATCCTTGTATATGTTCGGGCCTGATGCGTGTCTTTTGAAGCTACTTCCTGTAGAAGGGACCAGGCAGAGAAACGGGGGGACCAGGTGGGGATGTACATGCCGGCCAAGAAACGAAGCCCAAAGGGAAAGCCGAACTCTCTGAACCCCAGAGAGGACTTACGTTTAGTGACTGGCTCTCGTTCACCACGCGTTGGATGAATCGGTTTCTTCCGAGCAGGTTGCGGATGTGTTGTTCTTGTCCCCCGCGTTGGGTGATGGATGCCTCTGCAAGCCTCGGTGTACTTGGTATTTTCTTCATGTACTAACTCCATAATGATCTTCATGATCCCCGCTTCCCGTGCTATTCATCATAGCAGGTGCGGCCCATTAGCACCTCAGAATTAGACCGTAGCACAACAATAGCTTATTAAAAACATTCATAAATACCTCATAAAGGCTCCGCGTTTCCTTAAGACAGGAACACCACTCGTAAAGAGCTCTCATCCGTTATCCTAGAAGAATGATAAAATATTTAAGACCTAGCAGGGTTCTGTTCGCTGTAGACGGCGGGCCTCGATGCCGGCTGGTTTTGTACCTTTCCCCTCTGTCTATTCATACCTCACAAATGGAGCCTCTCACAATTGGAGCCTTTTGTCATTTGTACTGTTGTGGCCGTTTTTTTAGTCAAGGAGATGGTTAATGAGCCCTCTTCCACCAGTGACATGGGTGATTTTCGTATTATTTGGCACCTGGTTGAACAGTGCAACTTGCCGTCAAATTACTACCTTACCGTCAAAGCCCTTTCCCCCCATCCTACATCCTGGCCACACACAGCAACTCCCTGCCCTTGCCCCCACCTCTCCCCCAACCTTTTTTATTTATTTATTTATTTATTTATTTCTCAGGGTTTACTCCTGGTTCTGCACTCAGGAATTACTCCTGGGGGTGCATGGGAGGGGGGACCCTCTGGGACGCCGGGGATTGAACTCGGGTCAGCCACGTGCAAGGCAGACGCCCTACCCGCTATACTATCGCTCCAACCCCTCACCCCCAATCATGTTTTTGTTTGACTGATGACCAGGCGGTAGCTGACTGGCCTTATGTTTTGTGTTCCCTCCACCCCAACGCTGACCCAAGACGGAGGAAAGGAAGTCCTGTCCATGCACCAGATTCTCCTCTATTTACTTCGCTGCAGCAAAGCCCTGGTTCCTGAGGAGGAGATCGCCAACATGCTTCAGTGGGAAGAACTTGAGTGGCAGAAATATGCCGAGGAATGCAAAGGCATGATTGTCACCAGCCCCGGAACGGTATGTCCTGCTCTTTACACACCCAGAGGCTGAGGCATCTTCTTTCCCATGTCTGAGTGTTTCCTCCGAAACGTTAAGAGATCATTGTCAAGGACGCCCTCCCACACTCACTGCTTCTGGCCTTTGGAGCACCCATTTTCCTTTAAATATGTAGTAGAGCTGAAAAGAGTTACTACCTCTAGGCGTGATGAGTCATTGAATTTTGCCCCTTCGCTTTGGAAGATGAGTAAGACGGGAAAAGAACCCAGAGAAGACAGGACAAATTTAGTCCAATTTCTTTTTTCCCGAGGTGACACTGTTCACTTCTCTGGTCTCTTTAAGATAACTTCTCATATTGTGTGGAAACAAAATTGGCCCTGTACTATTACATATTAATACTCCGGCATTTTCCTTCTCATCCTCCAGAGAGAACCAATATTGCAGGAATATGTATTTTTTTTCCTTTAGTTTCTTAGCAGTGTAATAAAAAAGAAAGGTCCTTGAGTTATTTCACTAACTATTGTTGAATACCTAGCTTTTACCCACAGTTCTGTTATAATAATGTGGTATTGAATTTGTATATATGTGTATAAATATACATACACGTATATCATGTATTGTTCAATATGTGTCCATATCATTTCTTAGAAAGCAGTGCTATGAAAGTATGTACATTTAAATGACTTTTGGAACATGTCGTAAATTGCCTTCTAGAGAGTAGTAAAATGTGCTCTCTGAGTAGCTGAATGAGACTTCCCATTTTTTTATATTGATTATGCTAGCTTAATTTTAAAAAAAATTGTTGTTTTGATAGGGAAAGCGTGTGTGTGTATGTGTATGTACATACATACATATATGTATATTATTATTTCTGTTTGTATATACTTTGGTTTTGAGCAAAAATGGTTATTTTAAATATTTATTGGCCACTCACTCATGTTCTTTTTTGGTAACGGCCTGTTTTTATTCTTTGTCTGTTTTCCTTTTGTCCAATTTGCTGTTTCATTTATCCTTTGTAAATATGTCCCCCTGGTCACTTCAGTTTTTTTTTTTTTTGTTTGTTTGAAGCTAGGTGTCTAATGTTAATTTTTTTAAAGTAAAAATATAAAAATTAAAAGTAAAAACTTAAAAGATAGTTTTATCCTATAAAGAAAATGCTGTCTTACTTATTGAATAAAATCAATATTTTTTCCCTAAAGCACATAAAATCCTTTTCTCTTGGCATCGTTGTCAGAATGAAGTTTTCCAGCAGTAGGGAGTTAAACTGCTTCCATGAAAAGATCCAGAGTCGTCTATTTAAATAAAGCTGTTGCTGTCAGAAGTTGGCCAGATGGTTTAATAGCCTTGATTCGTGCAAATGAAAATGCTGGACCAACGTTTTGTAGCATGACGGCAACATCTGCACAAACAAAATGTTGCTCGTTGCAGATTAAACCTCCCATTTAATACTGATTATCTTAAACACATCTAGAAAAGAAAAGAAAAGCATTTAATAAAAAAAAATGTCTAAACATAAAACCTGTTATATTTTATTTATTTTATCATAAAACCCGGGGCTGGAGAGATTATGTTGGGTTGGGGTGCTTTCCTTGCACACGGCTGACCCCAGTCCAGTTCCCGGCGACCTATTTGCCCCTCCCCCTACTCTCCCCAATCCCGAACATGCACAGAGCTGGGAGTAAGCCCCGAGCACCTGTGGGTGTATCCTTAAAACAAAAGAAAAGCCCATAAAACTCGTTTCAGACCAAAAAGTTTTAAAATGTTTACCACTAGATTGTCAAGCCACAGAAGTAATTACTAATCCGATCTGCAGTGGAGCGGGAGAGAGAGTACACTGGATAGAGCGCTTGCTTTGCATGCTTTGCACGTGGCTGACCACACTTCAGCCACCAGCATCACATGTGGTTCCCTGAGTACCTCCAGGAGTGATGCTTGAGCACAGAGCCAGGAGCACCCCCAGGAGTAGCCCCAACCACCCCGGTATAAAATAAAATATAGAAGTCCCAACACTAGGAGACGATAACTGTGACTTTCATTTTTCTCCTTTAAACAGTAGCTTAAAGATGCATTCTTGTGCCATTTCTGTAGCAGGGTCAGAGGGCGGGTGGACATAATGGTAGGGAAGATGGACCTTCTTATTTTGGTGCATCACTGGAGGGAGCTGCAGTGGATGCTTGGGTGGCTCATTTCCCCCACCCCCACCCCACCCCCACCCCCACACACATGATCTCCCGCCTTGTTCCTTGGCATGGCTTCATTTTCCTAGAATCCACTGGAGAGCTCTTGAAAATACAAGAATATCTTGATCCAGGGGCTGGAGCGATAGCACAGCGGGTAGGGCATTTGCCTTGCCTGCAGCCAACATGGCCGAAACAGGTTCGATTCCCAGCATTCCATACGGTCCCCCAAGCACCGCCAGGAGTGCATGAGCCAGGAGTAACCCCTGAGCATCGCCGGGTGTGACCCAAAAAGCAAAAAAAAAAAAAAGAATATCTTGATCCACAGCCCACCTTCCCCCTAGATAGTCCAGATAATGAGGCCCCCAAATCTATTTTTTGTGTGTATAAATATATATATATACATATATATATATATATTTATCTCCAACTGTTTCTCATTGACCTGTTACTTGTTTTTGAGTCGGATGGCACAGGTAATGTTTACTTCCCTTGCAATTATCATCCCACCATCATTTTCAGTTCATCGGTTGAGGACTGGCTTTGCAAGCCAGGTAGCAGCGAAGCCTCTATCTCTTTTCTCAGATGCTTACCCATCTGCAAACTCAGGGGCGATTCCTAGGAGAAGAATCTGTCACAAATGGTCAAATCAAATGGTCAGTTAGGAAAAGTCCCTGGTTTTAGGTGATATCACAGAGCTAAGTTGCCGGACTTGGACCATAAACTCCTCAGAGAGATCTTCGAGAAATCATGTAGCACTATAGCCCTGTCCTCCCATTGTTCATCAATTTGCTTGAGCGAGCACCAGTAACGTCTCCATTGTGAGACTTGTTGTTATTGTTTTTGGCATATCGAATATGCCACGGGGAGCTTGCCAGGCTCTGCCATGCAGGTGGATACTCTCGGTAGCTTGTTGGGCTCTCCGAGAGGGACAGAGGAATCGAACCCGGGTTGGCTGTGTGCAAGGCAAACGCCCTACCCACTGTGCTATCGCTCCAGTCCAGCAAACAATACAAAATAAACTTACATAAATTTTCGGTACAATTAAATGTACACACTTAGGTGTATGGTGAGTTTTGAAAAAAAGGTGAAAAGCTATTGATGACAAAAAGCTTATGCTGGGAGTAGCACTGTGGCACTGTCCTTCCATTGTTCATCAATTTGCTCGGGCAGGCGCCAGTAACATCTCCACTGTGAGACTTGTTACTGTTTTTGGCGTATCAAATACGCCACGGGTAGCTTGCCAGGCTCTGCTGTGCGGCGGGATACTCTCGGTAGCTTGCTGGGCTCTCCGAGAGGGATGGAGGAATCGAACCCAGGTCGGCCATGTGCAAGACAAACGCCCTACCCGCTGTGCTATCGCTCTAGCCCATGCTGGGAGTAATGAAAATAAAAAGGAAATTTTTAAAAATGAAAGGTGAGTTAAGGTGCTAGGTTTAGGAATATGTTAAAGTTAAGTGTTTAACAATATGTCTGAAAAAGGAAGATGTCCTGAAAAGTTGCTATCATGGGAATAACCCTTCATAATATATAGACTTGAGAACCTAGCAGGTAGACATGATACCACATTTTGTCCTCTGGGTACTTGCTTTGAAAGATTGCCTAATGATAAGAATATTGGAGAATTTATTAAAATTTTCAAACCATTATGATCACATTAAATACTTTATTGCGGTAGAACTTAAAAGAATTAATCTTCGCCTGACACTCTGCGTCTACTGAGGGGCCCTTCTGTCATTAGCAAAAATATTCTTTACTCCATAAAGATAGTATGAGAGCTGTTGTATGGTCTCAACATCTGCAATCTCGCTCTGCTGCCCCTCCCAATAAATTTAGAGATGCTACAGACATTTAAAATTAATATTCCCCCCAAATTAAAATGAAATAAAATTAATATTTCTTCTTATACCGTAGCAGGGTATTGAGCATCACAGAGAGCTGAGTAATTCATAGTATTCAATTGCCTAAGTCCTTGTTTAAAAATATATACTGCTGCTTTGGTGCACAGAGGGGTGGGGAAAAAAATATGAGTTCCTACTGTGGATGGGTATAGAAATAACTTCTTATTAGGTTACTCCTGACCACAGTTTTTTTCCAGTTGCTAATGTTTAAGATCAGAAGTGCACGTTTCAAGATACCAATGCAATTTTGATTGTTCAGTGACTTGCCTATTCTTGGAAGTCTTCAGTGGAAGTGTTTTTTTAAATTACTATAGATGAATGAATATCTAGCATTTGTCACTTTCTTGGATTTGTCAGATGGATGCCTAGGACTAGAATTGTGAGTATAATCATCAACTTGTCCCAGTTGCTGGGGGACATCCTGTGTGGACAAACCTCACCGCCAACCAGACTCAAGTGCTGGGGGTTGCTGTGGGGACAGAAGGAAGCGGATCAGCCTCACTGTGGATCAATACTCTGGCCTTTGGCTCTCATGCTGTGGACCAAAAACCCCACGTTCTCTTCGTAAGAATTTAGCTTCTAATTAGAGACAGCCCTGAGGGCTGCGTGTAAGCAATGAGATTGCTAAGATATATCAGATACAAATTAAAGCTCTCAGGATAAAAGACATTTTACAAATGATTCTGCAGACATAGTAACTTAAGAAAGAATAAGCTGTTGAGTTCTTTATTAGTTGTGCAAACACACACACACACACACACACACACACACACACAGAGCCAAAAATTTGTAAGTCTATAACTCTACCTCGTGGTGTTTCACTAATAATAAATAAATAAATAAATAAATAAAATGGTCTATATGGACATAATAGAGAAGCTTAATCCTTTGGCCTTTGTTCCAACTACCTTTTAATGGAATGGTGTAGAATTAAAGGAATACACAAGGTATATGCTGAGAACTAGTCGGGAGAGAGTCGTTTATGGAAAGGCATCTGTTTGCATCCTAAGAGGAAGGGAGCTATTCATTTGAAGTGTGAACTAAAAGAATAATAAGCCAGCACTTCTCTTCCCTCTGATGTATACTGCTTCCCCTGTGCCTCTGGAGGGGTTAAGGAAAAGTTATATCTGACTAGGTGTCCTTTTAAAAGTTTAATTTTTAAAGGTTTCTCTGTGGACTGCAAAAAAGGACAAAATCATTGTTCATTATGCCAAATGGCACAGACTCATTTGCAGGGCTGACATTATAGTTTTTATATAGTATAGCTGCTATGATTAAAGGGTTTTCAATGACATTTTCCCTTTGGGGATGAGGCTTTCCTAGGAAAAAAAATCCGATTAATTTCTTTCCTGCTTAGGTTCAAGTCAATACCTAAAGACTTCTTCTGGGAATAAATGGCTTTGATTTTTCTCTCTAGAAACCCAGCTCTGTCCGTATCGATCAACTGGATCGTGAACAGTTCAACCCTGATGTGATCACTTTTCCGATTATCGTCCACTTTGGGATACGCCCTGCACAGTTGAGTTATGCAGGAGACCCACAGTAAGATATTTCTCGGTGTTTGTCTTAGCCAATTTCACCTTCTACTAACAGCAGAAATAGCAGAGAAATAACCGTGGCGTGAACATTTTCCTTTCAAAGGGCCAGGCTTCCAAATTGAGGGTACCCAATGAATCTCATATTGGTAGCTACTGAAGAATAATTTTCTCTTCATACTGACTACAGGAAATCATTATTCCATAGATTCTCCTTGGTAAATAGTTGATGTGAGTTCTCTAGTTTGGGAATCATACCCAGTGAACTTCTTACTTAGGAATTACTTCTGGTGGTACCCAGAGGACCATATGGCATGCTGAGGGTCAAACCCGGGTTGGACACAGACAAGGCAAGTGCCCTACTCGCTGTACTATCTCTTCGGCCCTGAGTCCTGTATATTTTTTGAACTTCAAAGAACTTTTCTCTATTTGCTGTTATAATACTGCAAAATATTTCTATTGTTTCCCTCCCTTCCTCCCTCCCTCCCTCCCTCCCTCCCACCTACCCTTTCTTCCTCTTTTCCTTCTTTCTTTCTTCCTCCCAGTTCTCTCTAAAGGAAAGTAGCTTCATAATAGTTCCTAGCCCTGCCAAATTGGTGCCAAATTCTATTTGGGGGGCATCTAATTAGAGTTCAAGATCTCATGCAAAGTCAATGATTGCGTTGAAAGGAGAAGCTTTTGACTTGTTACTCTTGGAACTGATGTAACCTCACACATTTGCTTTTTGCTAATTGGCATGATTGTGTATTTCTGGGCAAAGATGAGGATGTTGTGGGTTATACCATTATATCTTTCAGAAGCATTTTTATTTCCGGCTTCATGAAAACAGTTTCCTGACTTAATTTTTTTTTTTTTTGAAGAATTCATAATGGGAGAAAAGGGCATGGGAGATTTTCAATTCATAAGTACAATTCTGGCTGATAAATTAGAAGAGGCTAAAGGGTTTTGTTTCCTTCCCCCCCACCCCTTTGGATAAAAGTATGAAACAGTGAAGTAGGCACTGTGTAAGTACTTCTTTCTTTCCTCCGTTCTCTTAATACAAAAGGAAAAAAAAGGAGAGACCCAAATAAGCCCAAGAATGGAGCCATGTCAACATGTCAGAAAAATCCTCTGAAAGTCTCTTCTTGTTAGAAAAACTCTTCTTGTTAGTAGAATGTGATTTGACTCTTGTGGTCTTTCCGGATCTGGAATGCGAATTGCTAAAAGACTTCATGTTCGTTTCATTTCCACGTCTCTTGAGCAGCATTCCTTTATTTCTACGACACTTTAGCCTGCTAGATTCACCTGTCTTGGAGTACAAAAATGCTTGTTCTTAGCATGGCAGGTACAAATTCAGGGGTCCCATTCATCTTTTTTCATCTCCTGTAAGAAAAAACGGATCCAGCTCCATACTGGCATTGATGGACTTCCCTCGTGCTCTCCAGTTTTCACTTGGAGAAGACAGTTCGGTCCTTATTAAGGAAAGGCTTTTTCTTGCAACCTCAGAAAGAATGTTAGTTCAAGCAAATGTGTCACTTTTAAAGAGAGAAGTATGAGAGGCAATTCGGGTTTTTCACTGTTTTGAGGGGGTCCTCTCTGGAATTCTTTCACAGAGAGATTTATCTCAATATGGACACCTCCTTTTCGACCCCAATAAGTAATCATTTGCTTCAACCTTTGATTCCAGGTGACCCCCTGGTTGCACTGCCCTTAGCCCCCGTGTCAGATCCTTCCTTAGAATGAAGGTTTGCTGGCATGAGGGAGATTCAAAGAAATGCTATTGATAAGTGTGCAGGCTGGTTAGAATGCTGCAGATTGGCCTTTCCTTTGTCTGAGATGTCCATCTGTCCTTCTCCGTAGGTACCAGAAACTGTGGAAGAGCTACGTGAAACTTCGCCACCTCCTCGCAAATAGCCCCAAAGTCAAACAGACGGACAAGCAGAAGTTGGCACAGAGGGAGGTGTGTAGCGAACCTGGTTCTTCAGTAGTTCAAGACGAGCCACTTCCACTACACTTAAAGATCGTTGCTGGGAAATTTCTAGACTAAAACGGAAGGGGCCAAAGAGAGTGCTCCGTGGGCTGAGGCCTATGCTTTGCATGTGGGAGGCCCCTGTTTCTGGCCACAACACCGGGTCCCCATGGGCACTGCCAGGACTTAAAAAGGAGAGAGCAAAACAGACTTGAATCGATGATTACTGCGTCTTCTGTCTCCCATTAATATGCAGATTATTTTTCAGTATCTTAAGGGAACAGCTTCCTCCCTAAGTGGCTCAGTGTCCTAATGGAGTGTTCTCATTGAGAAACATCTTATATAGAAATTAAGGAAGGTTTAAGGCTTGTCCAATCAGCCTTTTATCGTTAAATCGTGTCCTACCCTGGTAGTGCTCGGGGTCATGCCTAGTGGTCCTCTGGGTATCATATGTCGGGGTTTGAAGCCAAGCTGGGGCTCCCACGTGCAATGTGGGTATCCCTGAAAATAGCTCATCCCTGGTCCAATAAATGGTTTATGAGTTTGTTTGTTTTTTTTGGGGGGCGGGGCGGGGACACTCCCAGGCAGTGCTGGGGGTTACTGGGGGTGCTTAGGAGAATTCATTGCTAGCAGGCTGGCAGTTCACTGCAAGGGCCCAGGGAAGCAGTGTAGCTCCAGCTCTGTGACTGAGGGATACCTGAGTCACCCGCCTGGGGTCTCCAGGTTGCGCCTAGCGATAATTGTGGGCCACGTGCTGCCAGGATTGTGACCAGGCTCAGGTACAGGCAAGGCTCGTGCCTCAGACGCAGAGCTGTCTGTCTCCTGGCCTCCATTACATTATTATTTGAAATGATCATTTGGATGGCAGTAAAAGGGAAGAGTCAATTCCTGATTTTTCTTGTAGGAACAAGTTTATATATTTTTCTTTTAATAAAATTGTTTTTTTGCTGCAAGTGTGTTTGTAAGGGGGAGGGGGTCACAAATTAGAAGGCACACTTGTAGGATTGTTTGGCGTTCCAGGTTAATTTGCTGATTTTTTTTTTTTTTTTTGCGATATATGTATACTTTAACATAAGGGTGACAAGACCATTTTGATATGTGGCTTTCAAATCTCAAAAGACATTTTCTTAGTGAAAGGGTGTTATTTTTATTTATTTATTTATTTTTGGTTTGAACTTGTCAGAATGGTAGATTTTGCTTGGAATTTCCCCCCCCCTTCTTCCGTTATTAGAAAAAATTGCCTGCCTTTTTTCTTTAATTTGGTTTCCGTTTTTGTTTTGGGGGGGCCACACCTGGTGATACTCAGGGGCTACTCTTGGCTCTGCACTCAGGAATCACTACAGGGATCTCAGGGGACTATATGCAATATCAAGATGGAATCCGGGTGGTGAGCCATGTGCAAAGCAGACGCCGTACTCACTGTCCTCTCATCTCATCTCTCCGGCCCAGGAAAGCTGCTTCTCCTGAAGACTCCGAGCACTTCCTGGCCTGCATTTCAAATAAAACTGTCATTTGCGTAAAGTGGTCTGAGCACGTGTGCTGTCCAGGGCAATGTGGACTGAATTCCGCTTCTCCTCCAAGGCGGAGCGTTTGGCTTTCTGTGACCCCGCACCTGTCAGCCTACCCACTGTCACACGTTCTTTTCCAGGAAGCGCTCCAGAAGATTCGACAGAAGAACACGATGAGGCGGGAAGTAACGGTGGAGCTCAGCAGCCAGGGGTTCTGGAAAACTGGCATCCGCTCTGATGTCTGTCAGGTAAGGTCCACCACCCTTCCCCTCTCTTCCTTTGGGGCGCCTGGCAACCAGGAGTGGATCCCAGCACTTAGAACTCCCGTCCTGGCTGGTTTCCACCGTGGGGGGGGGGGGGTTCCGCTGCTCATTTTGGTGCTGCCTTGCTGTGTTGTGTGCCTGTGGGCTGCGTGCATGCATGTGTGTGTGTGTGTGTGTGTGCATGCGTGTGCATGCATGCGTATCTCTGTTCACAGAGATGAAGGGTGCTTATTATTTCGTAAGGCCCAGTTCTGTTTGCCGTGCATGGTGTGAAAGAGGCAGGGCTGATCAAACATGCCAGCCCCCACCACCGCCCCTCCCCGCCCCCCTCCTGCCCCCCCACAAGAGGTGCCAACACAGACATTCTCCAGGAGCCGTGCAGGCTGTGTGTACAAACTTTCCAGACCAGCGATTTGAATTTCTGTTGGCGAGAACCAAAGACAGTTAATGAACAGTCGCAGATTTCATATTCGAGTTGAGTGATGCTAGGGTTTTATTATTTTTTTTTCCCCTTGGTTGAGTGCGATAGAAGAACATTTTGGCTAGATTTAACCAGTCTGCTAAGTATTTTTGGTCCCCCCTCCCCTCCCACTGTGGTTGGGGTTTATTCCAGGTTAGAGGGTTCTCCCAAGCAGCGGTGTAGGCTCTGGGTTGCAGATTCTTCGATTATGATTGATACTGGTCACTTCCCTGAACACAGGCTGGGATCAGGTCATGGGATTCACTGAGTTGGGTCTTTTGGAAGAATTCGGGGATTGGGGTCTTCAGGGAAGCTTGTATTGCAATGGGTTCAGGCATTCTTTAGGTACTTGTTTATTCACAATGAGTTTGTTTGTTTTTTTAATCAATGTTGATACTTAAATATTACATAGAAGATTGGGATTTAAGTTATTACTTTTCAACTCATTGGGCATGTGGTATCCAAAGCTGTTTTTGCTTGGAGGTGGACTCCTACTAATTCAGCTTTGCTCAATAATTGGAGAATAATTATGTAGCTGGGTAGCTTAGCTGCAACTCCCAGAGTCCTCAGTTCTTAAGGCTGGTTGACTGAAATACGGTTTGGGACCTGAAGTGTTTTCAGAAGGGGACGTTTGACGGCTGACTTGCAGTTGTTCTCTCTCTGGGCCCCTGGGAGTCACATCACCCAGTTCGGCATCTCCACCTGCTTCAGCACAGCCAGCACCTCTGTGTGTGTGTGTGGGGGGGGGGCAGTGCATGGGGTCGCAGCTCGAGTGGTCTGTGTTCTCCTGTGACAAGCCCAAGTCGATTGGTTACTGACATCACGCAACTGGGGAGCATTAAGAGCAGGAAGCAAAGCCAGAGATACAGGTTAAGATGTTTGACTCGCATGCAGTGGAATCTGGTTTCATCCTCAGCACCATGTATGATCCTCCAAGCTCTGCCAGTGGCCAGCCCTGAGCAAAGAGCCAGGAATAAGACCTAGCACATCCTCCCCCCACCTCTCCTTCCACTCCCCCTCCCCCAAAAAAAAAACAAGAATAGGAAGGGCCCTTTAGAGATTTATTTCAGTAGGTGTTTTTTTGTTGAATTTTGTTTTGGGGGGGGTGGCTGTAGGGGGAGTTGGATTACACCTAGCTGTGCTTGGGGCTTACTCCTGTCTCTGTGCTCAGGAATCAGTCCTGGCAGTGCTTCAGGGACCATATGGGGTACTGAGGGTTCAAACACAAACATGTCAGCAGGATGCATGGCAAGTGTCTTAGCTCTGTACTATGTCTCTGACCCCTTTAGGCCTTCTGTAATTTTTTTATTTTTTTGGCAGGCAGCAGCAGGGGGCATGTGTTGGTTTATGACCCTGTGGTTCAGGCATCAATCCTGGCGGTGCTTGGGGGGCTCTATGTGGTGCTGGAAATTGAACCTGGGCAGACATGTGCCAGGCAGGCGCCTTTATGCCTGTACTATTTCTCTGGTCTGCTTCAGCAGGTTTTTTTTTTTTTAATTTACTTTAAAAAAATTTTTTTTTTTTATTGAATCACTGTGAGATAGACCCTTACAAAATTGTTCATGATTAGGCTTCAGTCATACAGTGTTCCAACACCCATCCCTCTTCCAGGATATATTTCCCAGCACCAGTGTCCCCAGGTTTCCTCCCATCACCCCCCAGCTCCCACTTGGCTATCTCTTTGACAAACACCTCTCTCCCTCTGTCTCTGTCTCTGTCTCTGTCTCTGTCTGTTTGTCTTTCTCTCTCTCTCTCTGTCTCTCTCTCTCTCTGTCTCTCTCTCCTTTTGGCCACTGTGGTTTGCAATACAGATACTGAAAGGTTATCAATTATATCCCTTTACCTACTTTTAACACTCAGATCTTGTCCAGTGTGATCATTTCCAGCTATTATTGTCATACTGGTCTCTTCTCTGTCTTACCTGTCCTTAGCCCCACACACACTTGTGGCTGATTCCAACCACTGACCAGTTAGTTCTCCTAGCCTGTTTTCTCTAGCCATGAATATTATTCTTCTACTATATAATCTGAAAACATATCTTCTACTATATATCTGGAAACAACCTGAGTGCCCAAGAGCAGACGAATGGATAAAGAAACCATGGTACATCTACATGGTAGAATACTATGCTGTTAGGAAAAATGAAGGCATGAAGTTTGCCCGTAGATGGACGGACATAGAGAGTATCATGCTGAGTGAAATGAGTCAGAAGGAGAGTGACAGATTTTAGAATGACTGCATCCGTTTGTGATCTATTCAGCAGTTTTTGTTTTTGGTAACAAGCACTGTCCTCCCGTTGTTCATCCATTTGCTTGAGCGGGCCCAGTAACGTCTCCATCGTGAGACTTGTTGTTACTGCGTTTGGCATGTTGAATACATCATGGGTAGCTTGACAGGCTTTGCTGTGAGGGTGAGGTACTCTTGGTAGCTTGCCGGGCTCTCCGAGAGGGGAGGAGGAATCAAACTCGGGTCATCATGTAAGGCAAAAACCCTACCTGCTATGCTATCATGCCTGCTTTGGTAGAAATTCCTTATAAACACCAAAGGTCTTTGGAGCCCCAATTTGTAAAAAAATGAAAAATTTCTGATTGATTGCTGGGATGTGGGTGTGGAGAAATCATCCGGGTGGACACTCTCTCTTATTTCTCATAGGTGTCCCTGAGTCAGTTTTGTTTCTAAATTCTGCTTTTTCTTTAGAAGCATTGAGCCCCTTCCTTGCTCCCAAACCCTTCTTTTTTATCATTTTTTTTGGGGGGGGGTCACACCTGGTGGTGCTCAGGGCTTACTCCTGACTGCACTTAGGGATTACTCCTGGCAGTGCTCAGGGAACTATATGGAGTGCTGAGGATTGAACTCAGGTCGTCTGTGTGTAAGGCAAGCACCCTACCTGCTGTACGATTGCTCTGGCCCTCGGTTATTATTATTATTATTATTTTTTTTAATCAAAGATTGCCCCCTCTCACTCCCCAGTTCTTTTGGTAAAACAAACAGAGGTGAGGTGCTGAATGATTTTTGTCCATTGCAGTTTCCCAGCTCTCTCCCCCCCCCCACCCCGCCCCGTGCTGGGGATAAACTCAGGCATGCAAAGCATATGCTCTGCATTCTTTTTTTTTTTTCTTCTTTTGTCCACACCCAGCTGTGCTCAGCGCTTACTCCTGGCTCTGCATTTGGGGATCACTCCTGGCAGTGCTCATGGAACTGTATAGAGTACCAGGGATTGAATCCAGGTCGGTTGCATGCAAAGCAAATGAATTCCTTACTTGCTATGCTATCACTCCTGCCCCGCCAGGTAGTGAATCTTTTGCTCTGTATCAGAGTCCTTAAACAACATGAATTTGTAAGCTGTGCATTTGGAGGGGTAAAAGTGATTAATTCCATTAGTGCCAGGTCAGTTCCCAGGGTTTGAACCCTGGCACATTTGCCCCCGCCCTTCCCCTTCCCCACTACCCCCCCCCCCCCGCCCCCGAAACCAGCCAGGAGTGAGCCCTGAACATCACCAAGAATGAGCACAGAGCAAGAAGGACTAAGCCCAAAACGCAGCCAGGTATGAAACCCCCCCAAACCAAACAGACACAAAAAGTGAAGAGAAGAACAGACAGAGTCCTTCACTTTTTGTATTTTTGTTTTTCTCCATCAATAGATAAGAGGGGTAAGCCTCCAAAGGGACAGATGTCAGTTTAGTGTTAATAACACTTCTAATAATCAAATGTTCTTTAAAGAGCCGCCCTTCATCCCCCAGACCCTGATGGCGCCGGGGTTTGAACTTGGGACCTCACATATGTAAGACAAGTGCAGAAATGCTCCTCCTGGCTTCCAAGGTTTAATTTCCATGACAGGTGATGATTCAGCTCTCAGTGGGTTTAACAAATAACTCACCGGCTTGAATCCATCCTCTGGAAAGTTGTTTGCTCTGCATGATCTTCATAACCCTCTCACCTTGAAATTTTAGCTTCAATTCCCTTACGCTTTGTGCTACTGAAATGCACGGGAAACTATATTTCACTTTGGTGCGCATTTTCTCTCCAGATTATTGTGCTTTTAATATAGAATTTGTAAGAACAGAGTGAGCCAAAATGCCCGTAATCTAAATCCTGATGGCCTGTTTCTGAAACTTCGAGGATAAGATGTGTCTTCATCTTTTTTTTTTTTTTTTTTTTGCTACCCTGTCCCACAACTGTTGTAAACCTGCACATGCCTGTTTTCCGTGCGTAGTCACAGAGTGGAGCTGGGAAGACTTGTGTTGGACTAGAGAGCCTATTTCAGAGAGTTCATCTTTGTGAGTTAATAATATAGATAATCGATTTCTGTACTTAGAAACAAATCCATGTTTGTGTATTTTTAAATAACGCCAGCTTGAAAAAAAACCTCAAGGACTGAAATGACATAAAGGCTCAGGGCAGTCATTCTGGGGTCTGGGTGCATCCCGTGGGTTCTGGTGAATAATTATAAGAGCTTCATTCTCTTGAGTTCTTAAGAAACATCATTTTTGTTTTTTTTTAAATTTTGCTTTTTGGGTCACACACACCTGGCAATACACAGGGTTTACTCCTGGCTCTGCACTCAAAAATTACTCCTGGCGGTGCTCGGGGGACCATATGGGATCCTGGGAATTGAACCCGGGTCGGCTGTGTGCAAGGCAAATGCCCTACCCACTGTGCTATTTCTCCAGCCCCCCCCCCCCCCCTTCTTTTTTTTGTTAATGGAAGGAAAGATCCCGGATTCCTACTTTGGACAAACTTGCAGGCTATCGAATGTAGCCTGCCCACAGGGCAGAGTCTGGCAAACTCCCTGTGGCGTACCAAATATGCCAAATACCAGTAACAATGATGGGTCTCATTCTCCTAAATAGCCTTGAATGTAATCTCAGGGCTAGGATGAAAGAGACGTTACTGGGGCCTGCTCGAGGCAATCGACGAATAACAGGAAGGAAAGATGAACTTCCTGTGAAGTCCTCTCCCAATAAAGAGTCTAGAGCTAAGTGAAAAATGATGGAAACAGAAAGAGTTTAGTTCTCTGATGTCTGAACCATCTGGGCGGTACTACCAAACTGTCCTTGGAGTGGTAAACATTTTAGTATGGAGCCTGAATGTCTTTGGGAGGAGCACTGGGCGGAAGTTCAGATTCCAGAGACCTTTTCAGACCATGGTGCACTGAAACCAGAAAGTGAATCACACACAGAAACAGAGAATCAAACCGACACCTGAGAATTAAACAGCTCACTACTGAACACCCAGTAGGCTCGAGAGGAAATCAAAGAGGAACTTGAAAGAGTCCTGGAAATGAGTGAGAATGAGAACGTGAGCTCCTGAAACTTGGGGGACACGAGGAAACTTATAATTCTGATTCCAGAAACTTAACTTTTTGTTTCTTTCGAGTCTGTCTTTTTGTGTGTGGAGGTGTAGGCAGGGAGGGGGCCTTCCTGGGATCCTGAATAGTGGTCAGGGCCTCTTGGCCACTCCTGGCCTGATAGGTCTGTGTGTGGGCCCGGGCTACACTGCAGGCAGTTTTGGGGGTGGCAAACCCGTGACACCGGAGATTAACTCCGGGGCCTCGCTCCGGCCTCACATGTGCTCCAGCGCTTGGTGCTGTCTCTGCAGTTCCTTTTCTTTCTTCCGTATTTGCGATTCTGGGGATCGAACCCGGGGCCTCACGCACCCCAGGCCTGTGCCCTGCCACCGCGCCATGTCTGTAGTCCTCCTCTTTCATGGAGCCAGCATTGTTCCTGCCCTGCCGTCCTGGTAATCCTAGATGACCAGTCCTAGGATGCTCCCGTCGGCCCTCTGAGTAGCTCTGTACAGAGACGGCCGGCAACTATGGCAGCCCCTCTTGAGGCCACATCGCCGTTTCAGATGGTGCTGGGCACAGCAGATACTGTGGGGCAGACCCCAGCCCCCTTTTCTCAGCTGGGTCCAACAGAGCCGCGGGAAGCCCAGGGTGCCACAGGCAGGCACCAGTTCACATGTGCTGTCTTCAGACCTGAGTGTGTGTGTGTGTGTGTGTGTGTGTGTGTGTGTGTGTGTGTGTGTGTGTGTCTGTGTCTGTATCTGTGTCTGTCTGTGTATTAGGGGTAGGTTTTGACAGAGATGATCCCTTCAGACCTGAGGATATGTGTGTGTGTGTGTGTGTGTCTGTGTGTGTCTGTGTGTGTCTGTGTGTGTCTGTGTCTGTATATGGGAGGGTACTGGACAGAGATGACCCCTTCAGACCTGAGTGTGTGTGTGTGTGTGTGTGTGTGTGTGTTTGTATTGAGGAGTATTGGACAGAGATAATCCCTTCAGACCTGAGGGTTTGTGTGTATATGTCCATGTGTCTGTGTATGGTGGGGGGAGGGGGCGGGTGTTGGACAGCAATGATCCCTTCAGACCTGAGGGTGTGTGTGTATTTGTGTCTGTGTGTCTGTGTATTGGGGGAGGAGGGTGTGGTTGTTGGACCGTGATGATCTCTTCAGACCTGAGGTTGTGTGTGTGTGTTGGGGGCTGGGGTAAGTTGGACAGAGAGGATCCCTTCTGCAAGCAGCTTCACACCCCTAAGAAAGGTCCCTTCAGCGTTCCTCACAGCCAGAAAACTGCGTCAAGCCTTTGGAGATGGGATTTGGGCTGTGAAAATATTTCTTGCTGTGAATTGAATGAAACCATCTTATTTGTCGTTTATGGCATCGGACTCAAGACAGGTTGTTCTTGCCCCCCTCCCCCCCACCCAGCATGCAATGATGCTGCCCGTTTTGACCCATCACATCCGCTACCACCAGTGCCTCATGCATCTGGACAAACTGATCGGCTACACTTTCCAGGACCGCTGTCTCTTGCAGGTAAGCGCCACCCTTCCGTCTTCAGTGTGTCCCGTCTGCGGAGGCAGCATGGGAGAAATATGTGTATATATGTGGCGGGTTGTCGGGGTCCTGGCCAGTTGACTCCGGCAAACTGGACTATGAACCCCTGAACACCCCCCCCGCCCCCCCCGAAGTTGCTGGAATTACTCCCTAAAGGGGAGGGAGTGGGTAGGGGGGAGAAGCTTCTGCCCTGGCCCTCTATGCACTGCGGGATTCCGGGATTCCAGGATTCGGGATTCCTGGATTCCTGCCGCCACCGCTGAGAAAGAAAGCCACAGGGCGGGGGGAGTCTGGTGGTCAAGCAGTTCTCCATTTATTGGCCCCTACCCAGGGGTTCTTATACATACACTGGGGGTGGGGTGGGGGGGCAAATCCTGAGTACAGCATGGTTCTCCCGCACTTCTCTTGCACCACGTGCTTCACTGGTAGGGCTTGTACAGATGTCAGTTAGTGATTTACATATCCTGCTCTTAGGGCCGGGTGATCAATATGGGTAGGTGGGCACAGTCATGTCCCTCATCCTCAACCAGAGTGCCCGCGTGTGGGGAGTGCTGAAGCCGGCCCCCTGGATCTTTGTATACAGGGCTGGCTCTTGTTTCCAGGGGCAGAGGATTTGGTCAAAGTCTCAGGCTAGCTGCTGAGACCCCAACAACGGGTTACATAGGAGCGCAGAACTGAGATCTGTGTTCCGGGAGAGGCTGAGGCGTCGAGAAGCTTCGTTCTCTCCTCTCTGATGGTTGCCCACTTTTCAGCCGCCTTTTTCATACTATTTCAAGTCACTATGCATAAAGAATTAGACAAAAGTTAAGATTTGCTTGTCAAATCTGAGCCCCCTTTTCAGCCTTTCCTGCCTGACGACTCTTTTGGGTCCTAAGTATTCTAAATCTCCTTCGAAAGACGCGGCTCGCTCTTCAGCTTTTCAAGAGGGGGCTGGTCTCCCCTCCACCCCCCCACCCCACCCCTGGCTGTGGGAATTTGACCCTGGAGATTCGGATGGAAAGATCAGATTCGTGAATCAGGTTCTCTTTCGTGCTTCCATTCGGGCTGGTGGCAAGGTGGGAGTTTCCTGCCGAGCGTTGAAGACTGAGCTGATGTCATTGACATTTTAGCTGGCCATGACTCACCCGAGCCATCATTTAAACTTTGGAATGAATCCCGATCACGCCAGGAACTCTTTGTCCAACTGTGGAATCCGGCAGCCCAAATACGGAGACCGAAAAGTTCACCATATGCACATGCGGAAAAAAGGTGTGTTTGTCTTGGCCTGCGTCCCCTACCGTGAAGGAGGTCTCCTTAGCTGTGGCTCCCTGGGCCCCGGGGAAAGAGCTTGCAGGCCGGGGCACAGGCTTTGCACAGGGGAGGCCTGGGTTCTATGCCCGGGTCCACGCGGTCCCTTGAGCCCTGCCAGGGTGTGGCTGAAAACAGAGCCCCTAATTGCCGGACTGAAAGCACTTCCCAAAAAGCCTTTGTGTTTCTTGTTTCTGTCTTGGGCCTGTGCGTGGCCTTGGTCAGGGGCCATCCCAGCTCAGTGCTCAAGTGACCATACACTGCATGACATCAAACTGAGACTCCTGCCTCGAAAACCCCTGTTCAGCCTTTTTTTTTCTTTCCGGTTCACACCCAGCGATGCACAGGGGTTACTCCTGACTGCATTCAGGAATTATTCCTTGCAGTGCTTGGGGGACCATATGGGATGCTGGGAATCGAACCTGGGTCTGCCATATGCAAGGCAAACACCCTACCTGCTGTGCTATCGCTCCAGCTTCTTGAGCTCTCTCTCCAGCCCCATCTTAGAAATCTTCCTGACCCACATGGAATACCATGAGCTTGGGCACATTTCAGTGAGGGTGGATATTTATGTCTACATAATGTTCTTTTTCCTATCAGGTATGTTTTGTTGAGTGTGTGTGTGTTGGGGGCGGGGGGGGGGGTCGAGTCTCTCCTCAGGACTCTGGGCCACTCCTGGCTATGGGGGCTAGGTAGTTCAGGCTGGGGGCCAGCCGCCAGGGCCACGCCACCTGGGCTAAGGCTGGTAGTGAGTGTTAAGTACAGGTTGGTAAATAAATGTCTTTCTGCAGCATCTGTGATGGCGTTAGGACCCTTCTAACAGTATTGTTTGTGTGTGTTTTTCATAGGAATTAACACTTTAATAAACATTATGTCACGTCTTGGACAAGATGACCCCACTCCGTCAAGGTAAAGACATTTTTGTGTCAGCTTCTTTTGAACTGGAACACATATGCCATGTGGCTGGTCTCAGTAATCATGTGTCATGTGTCCTGTTCAGTAATCTCTGGCATGTTCAGTAACACAGTACAGCAGCCATGATCACTGTTGAGTTTTAGAACATTTGTTTATTTATTTATTTATTTTGCTTTTTGGGTCACACCCGGCGATGCATAGGGGTTACTCCTTGGCTCTGCACTCAGGAATTACTCCTGGTGGTGCTCGGGGGACCCTATGGGATGCTGGGAATCGAACCCGGGTCGGCCGCATGCAAGGCAAATGCCCTACCTGCTGTACTTTCGCTCCAGCCCCTAGAGCAATTTTAACTCCCCTCATGAGGGACCCTGTGCCCTCCTTTTCCCTCAGCCTGCCCACCCTGGCATCCACTAGCCTGCATAAGAAATGCAAAAGAAAAAAATCAGAAGGAACACATTTAAAAATTCTTCATAGCCAACAGATGCGCTCTTGAGGCCAAAGAGATAGTGCAGAGCTTCAGACTGTGCCGTGCATGCAGGCGACCCGATTTGACCGCTGGCACCATGCACGGTCCCCCAAGCACTGTGGGAGTGATCCCTGAGCACAGAGCCAGGATAAGCCAGATGAGCCTCCTTTGCTACCTTTTTCTTTATACATATCTGTTTGTTTGTCTGCTTTCTTTTGGGGCCTCACTCAGTGCCACTCAGGGCTGACTCTTGATTCAGGGACCCCCCCCCCCTTTTTTTTTAATTGAATCACCATGAGATAGAGCCTTACAAAGCTATTCATGATTGGGTTTCAGTCATACAATATTCCAACACCCTTCCCTCCACCAGTGACATTTCCCAGCACCAGTGTCACCAGTTTTCCTCTCACCCGTTCAAGCCACCCCTCACTCCCACCGCCCTCCTTGTCTCTCTCTCTCTCTGTCTCTCTGTCTCTCCCCCTCCCTCTCTCTCTGTCTCTTTATGTCTCTCCCTCTCTCTCTCTCTCTCTCTCCCTCTTTCAATTTTAGGCATTATGGTTTGCAATAGAGATGCTGAAAGGTTACCGTGGATACAGGGATCACTCTTGAGGGGGCTCAGGGCCCCACCTTGTGCGAGTCCAGCCCCTTCTCTCTGCACGGTCTCTGGCCCACTTTTCTTTCTCAGTTGGCTTATTTTGCACCGCTCTCTTTTTTGAGGTTATCACAAACTCCCTTTGCACATCAGTCAAGAGGTAAAAGGAAAGGTGGGGATGAAACTTTAAATATGGGCTTGAAGATGTTCTCACGCCTCACTGTGAAGTTCCCTGAGTGGCAGAGATCAGAAAAGGCTTGTCTAATTAAAAGAACCCTTAATCACCCACTCGAGGGCAGAGGACCCATCGCTCAAACTCTGGATGTTCCGCCTGCAGTTCAGTAAGCGAAATCCCTCAGCCCGTTAGCATGGCCATCCAGGTTCTTGCGAATGATGCGTTCTGCTTTTTTGTTGGTGGTGGTTGGGGGGTTGTTCGGGGCCACATTCAGCGTTGCTCAGGGTGCACTCCTGTCTCTGCACTTAGAGTTTACTCTTGGCGGTGCCCAGGGAACTGTATGGGGTGCCGTGATCAAACCTGGGACAGCTGCGTGCATGGCAAGCGTCCTACCTGCTATACCATCGCCCGGACCCCACATGCTGCATCTTAGCTCCATTGAGTGTGTCTGAACTTCCTCTCCTGGCACTCACTGCCCCGTCTCCAAGCACAGCGTCCTGTCCCCTGCAAGTCTCTGCCATTCTGTCTTTAAGACTCCAGTGCGGACCGTGCCATGGCATTCACCTCTCCCTTCCCGGAATATCAGTCGTCGAGGTACAGACTCCTATGCAGTGCCCATGGCATTCTACCCCATCTTACTGACATTGGTGTGATGGCACAGCATCAGCATCTTCTGACTATGTCATGGGCTGATCTCTTGGCTGTTACTATGAGCATCTTGGAAGTCTGTCAGCCATCTCCCCCTGTCCCTCTCCTTGGTTTCTGGGCCACACCTCGCAGTGCTGTGGGCTGACTCTTGGCTCTGTGCTCAAGGATCACTCCTGGTGGTACTCGGATACCATGTGTGGCAGCAGGGATTGAACCAGGGCCGGCCACATGCCAGCAAATACATTAACTCCTATAATATAGCTCCAGTTTCTCTTGGCTTTTATTTTATTATTTATTTTTTTCTCTCTTGGCTTTTTTTCCAAAAACATTTCCTTTTGCAACAAGTTCCTTTCACTCAAGCAGGGGCTCCCTGCAAAATTCGAAGGGAGAGAATGCTGCTGTCACCTCCCTGGTATCCCAGGTTCCTGTCTTTTTGTCTGCACCTCAGCAAACGGAGGCACTTCAGAAGCCATCAGGGCCATGAGAGACTTAAGCGGCTGCTTAGCATTTCGCCTAATCTGACTTGGGATCTGGCAAGGACTTACAAAAAGGCACAAAGACTTAAAATCTATAAATTAGAAACCTCTCTGCTGCTCCCACCTACAAAATAATTAACTTTTATGATAGCATCATCTCAAGTGAATATGCCACCCATAATTTTAAAAAGTATCACTGTTCATCCCCTAAGTCTCAGTTGTACGGTTATATTTAACTTATGCAAATTGCAGTGAAATGTTACCACGGGATGAGTCTCTGAAGGATTAGGCGCTCGTGGCATTCAAGTAATGCGCCGAAGAGCTTAGGGAACAGGGGCCGGGGACTGCAGTGGGAAAAAGGAGAGAACTGAGCAGGCACTCTTGTTTTTGTTTGACTTTGTTATTAGATGAGTTATTGCTAGATGTATGCGTTAAGAAATTCCTGAGGTAAAGATACAGATAGAAAGATAGATGAAAGTTCCCTCCTGTCGCTGTGTTTAAGGAAATGGAAGTCACAGAGTTTATCTTTAGATGGTATTTTTGCATTAAACTTGCTTTGATAGGGGCTGAGAGGTAATACAGCAGGCTGGGTGCTTACCTCACAGGTGGCCTGCCTGGGTTCGATCCTCAGCTCCCTCATATAATCCCTGAGCCCTGCCAGGATTGGTCCCTGAATCAGAGCTAAAAATAAACCTTGAGCATCACCGGGTGTAGCCCCCAAATTGAAAACAAAACAAAACCCCAAACAAGCAAAAAGCCACATAAGCAGCATGTATTAAGTATATATGAATTTCACCGAGCGATTTGCTGACACGTGTTTCAACTAAAGTTGCAAAAATGATGCCTGACCTGAGCTTCATGGTTCCTGGGGGACTGAGGTCTGGTTGCTGTGAGACCCGGCCTCACCCTGATGTCCTGGTGAACAGGGTGAGTGGGCAGAATTCCTGAATTGAGAGGAAGGTCCCGCTGGCTGCCTTCTAACCCTGCCCCCCCAGCCTCTGTTTGAGGTCGGAAGCACAATGGGAAAACCTGATTTGTCTGTTTCTCTCGTGGACTTGGCCGTTCAAGATGGTTTTCTGTGGTGTGACTGACGCCTTGTAACACTTGTCTTTTGTGTGGCACTCTTGTACTTGTCCAGAGAACTTTGGATTTCTCCGGCCAGATGTGCCACCCAGTTGTTAAGTTAATCTAGATTTCATAAGGTGATTGTTGTTTAAGTTCTCAGAAACAAGTGGAGTGCTTGCTGCCCGCTGAAAATCTCCTCAAGCCTTCTAATATTTATAATGGAGGTGATTAAAGAAGGTCTCAACAGAGGATGAAGGAACAAAAGATTTTCCACTGCAGTCAACAGGACGAGCGCATCCCTGTGCTTTTCTCACGAGACTTAGGAATTGTCCAGTACAATCATAAGCTAAAGTGGATTCAGTTCCCGTTTTAGTTTGTGGCTTGTTGCCAGAAGGTAGTCCCAGTGTAGATACAGGGAAATATATGCTAGCGATGGCCAAATTATTTTAAGGACAGCAGGCTCACTATTGAATAAACCCCGGTCGAACCATGGCCTTGCATTTTAACACACGAAGTGGTGGGTCTAACTGTGTCATTATTAAAATCCTAGGCTCAGTTCTGATTTCCCTGCAAGTTTATAAAAGAAGTTGAAGGAAAATTTATGCTAGTCTGACTTCATTCAAAATAGTGTGTGATTCAAAGCAGTTATTGTTCTTGGACTAGACATCTTATTCCTTAGTAAAACGTAAGACAGTTCAAATAAGGTTTATTTCCACCCCATACTCCTACCAGTTTCTTGCTTCCCATGTTAAGTAGATTTTCCTGAATAGTACTTTGAACTGTTGGAAAGAAAACAGGCCCTTTTGCAGAAAATGCATTTTTATTTTTACTGGCTTATGAGAAAAGAATACAGTAATATTAATTTCTGCACTCATAAAAACTTGTAATATTTTTTAGTTACCGTAATCTCAGGACTGTAGTATATTAGGTTTCATGAAATTAAGTTAGCAGAGGACTTGGGGGTTAACATATTTTACTGTTCAGCAGTCCCTCTCTTTCCGGATTCTTTCTCTGCTAATGGTGATGGTGGAGAAATAGTGTTTTTGGGAATGGGATATTTGTTTCAAGAAACAAAAAGCACAGTACTGAGTTGCTTCTTTTTAAAATGCATGGTCCTCCCATTGTTCATTGATTTGCTCGAGCGGGCCCAGTAACGTCACCATCATGAGACTTGTTACTGTGTTTGGCATATCGAATACGTCACGGGTACCTTGCCAGGCTTTGCCGCACGGGTGAGATACTCTCGGTAGCTTGCCGGGCAATCCAAGAGGGGTGGAGGAATCAAACTCGGGTCGGCTGTGTTGGCCGCTTGTAAGGCAAACGCCCTACCGCTCTGCAATCGCTCCAGCCCCGATGTCTTTTAAAATTAGTACCCTGTCTCACCATGGAAATTTGTAGTTTACCTTAGCTTAAAGATTGGTAACAAATTAATTACCTTGAAATTTTTTTTTTGGGGGGGAGCGTTTCTGTTGTTGTTATTGATGTTTGTTTTGTATCACACCCAGTGATGCTCAGGCCTTACTCCTGGCTCTGTGCTCAGGCATCACTCCTGGTGGTACTGGGGGACCGTATAGGATGCCGGAGGTCAAACCTGGCTTGGCTGTGTGTGAGTCAAGTGCCCTACCTGCTGCACTCTTGCGCCAGCCCAATAATTACTTTGTTTTGTTTTTCTTTGGGGCCACACCTGGCAGTGCTCAGGGATTACTCCTGACTCTGTGCTCAGGAAGCACTCCTGGTGGGTTCAGGGGACTGTAGGGGTGACTGGGGACTGAACCTGAGTCAGCAGCATGCAAGGCTAGGGTCCGTCCTGCTGTACTGTCTCTCCCATCCCAGGCAGCTTAGGCTCAACTGTTCCGAACACTCGAGAGCACTGAGGGGCGGGTCAGAGCCATCTAAGGAAGCTCTGGATGCAGAGAGAAGCAGGCACGGGTGTGTCCGGGGGGTGGACCCCTTCTTTCCTCCTCACACTTGTCCTCCATCCTCCCCCTCTCCCCCCCCCCCTCCCCCGAGCCCATGGTCTGTCCCCAGAGTTTTTCCTTCTGCAGCGAGCACTTTAACAGGCCCTGACACTAGGACACAAGGCTCAGGTTCTCCTCTTGCCCTGCTCGGCGGCTCCCCGCCCCTTGGGCCGGAGTCCCCTTGTCCCCTCTGCCTGGTCTGGGCCTTGGCCGCCACTGTTCCTCGGCGCTGCGTCCTGCCCACCTCAAATCTCTTTCCTGAAACGTTCTTCTCTTTAGAGCAAGGATTCTTGGTCTTTTTCCCAACCATGGTCCCTGATGATTTTCCTTCCTTTGGACCCCTGCTCTCCTGCCACATCCTCCCCCTCCCCCCTTTATGCCACTTCCCGCTTTGGCCCCCCAGTTCTGAGACGTGCTGCTTCAGAGGAGGGAGCACTGCCCCAGCTACCCTCTGCCTTCCTTCTACTTACTCCCTTTGTCATCCGTGCCTCGTCCGGGCTCGCCCCAGACCCCAGCCTCTCCCTAAGTAGCTCAGCCGGGCCGTTGGTCCTGTCTAGTGCTGACCACCCTGAAAGGCTGTGAGCAGCGTCTCCCCGGCCACATCTCTCCCTGGGCTTGTCCCTGCCAGGGAACATGCCTCCAGTGCTGCAACTCTGCTCTCTCCCCCACGGTTTTCTCTTCCCTTCCAAGGAAATGGCATCACTTTGCACACGGTGATTTTAGCTGCCGTCCAGCCCTTTAGCTCCGTGCCGTCTTTGGAGTGGCTCCCCAGTCTGTGTGGTCGGCAGCCTGTCTGCTCCTTGCCCAGGCTCCCCTAAAAGCTGATGGCCACCTGCCCTCTGCAGTGTCACTTTTCGGTGCCCTGGGCACGGGAAAGCCACTCAACGAAGCCCGTGGAGTCTGGCCCTGCAGAGCATGCTTCAGACACACACACACACACACACACACACACACACACACACACACGGAGCTTGTAGAGTCTGGCCCTGCAGAGCATGTGTCAAACACACACACATACACACACACAGAGCCTGTGGGGTCTGGTCCTACAGAGCATGCTTCACACACACACACACACACACACACACACACACACACACACACGGAGCCTGTAGAGTCTGGCCCTGCAGAGCATGTGTCAGACACACACACACACACACACATACACACACACAGAGCCTGTGGGGTCTGGCCCTACAGAGCATGCTTCACACACACACACACACACACACACACACACGGAACCTGTGGAGTCTGACCCTGTGTAACCCTGGCCAAGGGGTGGAGGGTGGAGGACATACTCACCATTTGATGAGGCCATTCTGGGAGGGATTCACAAGCAAGCACTTTGCAAGACCTTGCAGGCTAAGGATATCTTCAGTGGGACTCTCCATGGAGACCCATGAGAAGTCTAGGGTGGGAGAGAGGGTTTAGACCAAACAGAGGGGTGACTCGAGTGTTTGGGGGTGCGTAGACTCATTTTTCTGGAAATAGCAGGCAGTTTTGGAGCAAGAACAGCCTGGCCCAGAGGTGGGAGAGCTCCTCCCTGGAGATAGACGCGGGAAGTTTGGGATCAACGTTGAAGCCTGTTTGCGGTAGTACTGGGGAAATGAATAACAGGAGTTCACCTTGGATGGATTTCAGTGTCCAGCTGTCCCTGTCCCCGGCCTCCTGCAAGAAGAGTGGAAAGAATCCGTGAGCATGGTGGCTGCTCACTCTGGAAGGGTTTGGAAAGACTGAGCGGCTTGCTGGGGTGGCGTGTTCCTCCCTTTCCCTCTTAGGGTCCTGTGTCTTGGCTGAGACCCTCAGGAGAGGCGCTAGCCCTCACTACTGAGAAGGCGGGGGAAATGTAATTGCTGGCTGTTTTCAGTGTTAGCAGTGCTCAGGGCTTGCTCCGGGCTCTGTGCTCAGGGATCACTCCTGGCGAAGCTTTGGGAAGCACACATGGTGCCAGGGATGAAACCTGGGTTGGCCACGCACAAGGCAAGCGCTGTAACCTGTGCTGTCTCTTTCGACCCCTTTGCTAATCCTATAAATTCTCCTGTAGGATCAATCACAATGAGCGGCTGGAGTTCCTGGGTGATGCGGTGGTTGAATTTCTGACCAGGTGAGGTTTTATAAGGGAGCACGTCGAGTACAATGCCTTCTTCATAAATCAGTCCAGGAGGCATCGAAGCACCAGGCCCTTGATCTCTTCCTTGGAGCTGAAAAGCTGTGGACTGCAGCTGTGGCCCTGGCCACGTTCGCGGGGGCCCTAACGTACCCGGTTACGGGAGGAGAGTCCCGAGTCTCTGTCCCAGCAAGTTTGCACACAAGTCCCTCCAGTGGCCAGAGATCATCTGGTCTTGTCAGGATGCTTCAGAGCTTATTCCAGCTTGCAAAGGAAGGGTGATATTTTTAAATGTCATTTTATTTTCTAGGATTGGTCTCTGATCCCTTTCTCACTTTGGGGGGATCTCAAGGGAAGTCGAGCTTGCAAGTAATTTTAATGACTAGATTTGTGTGTGTGTGTGTGTGTGTGTGTGTGTGTAGTTTTAAGGCTTACATTTTGGGGTGTAAGTAGTGTAAGTATTTTTAATGTATATTTGGGTATATATAAATAAGTTTTATGTCTAGATTTTCGGGGATGTGTGAGTAATTTTAGTGTTTATAATTGGCCGGAGTATCAGTGATTTTAATGTCTAAAATTTGGTATGTGTGTGTGGGAGGTGTGTTATGTGTATACCGCTTATATATTTGTGTTTCCACTGAAGAGGTATTTCAGGCCCTTCCTTTACAAGTGGGAGTAGGAAGGTCGGTTTTCTGTTCTAGCATAATTTTTCTTTTAAAAGGAGAGAACCCACACTTCTCTCTGCGCTCCCTTGCCCTCTTTTTAGTAATTTCTTTGGGTTTATTTATTTATTTACTTACTTTTTTGGTTTGGGGGCCACACCCAGAGATGCTCAGAGGTTACCCTGGTTCTGCGCTCAGGGGTCACTCCTAGTGGTGTTTGGGGGAAACCATACGGGATGCCGCAGATCAAACCCAGGTCAGCCATGTGCAGGGTAAATGCGCTACCCACTGTACTATCTCTCCGGCCCCTGTAGTCATTTCCCCAGCCAAGGGCTGCCGGTGACCTGCTGTTCCTGTGTGTGGCAGATGCCTCGGCAGAGTGGGCCTGGCAATACTGCAGACTGGCTTCCTTATCGCTTCTTTCCCAGCCCCACACTTGCTCCCTGGCTCCCCACAGGAGGCCTGTCCTGCCATAATCACAGCAGCCACCTGTGCCAGCACTCCCCACTGTGCCCTTGTGCCTGTCTGTCCTCAGCAGGAGTGCACATGCCACCACCGCAGGGCTCCCCCAGGCTTCCCCTCCCTGTCCAGGCAAACCCCCTCACTTCTTGGCCCAGCTTCCCAGCAGCCGGGAGGTTTGCTCCCAGCAACGCACGACCAACTGTTTGGGTCTCCGATCATTACCCAGTGTCAGAGAAATCTGTCAGCCAAATTTAAGTCTGTGTGAACTTGTTCTGGTCAGGTCTCAGTGCACCCTGGTTCTCTTTGCCGCCACTTAACTTTCAAACCCTTCATTTGGACCTCAGTGATGTGACCCCGGGAACCCAGAGAGCGTGTGCCTCAGATCCCCAGAATGTTGCGATGCTAATCTACGTGTGTGCTTTTTTTTTTTTTTTTTCTTTCTCTCTCTCTCTCTCTCTCCCCTTCCAGTGTCCATTTGTACTATTTGTTTCCCAGTCTGGAGGAAGGAGGCTTGGCCACGTACCGGACAGCCATTGTGCAGAACCAGCACCTGGCCATGCTCGCCAAGGTACAGCAAGCAGCCGCCGACGCGCTGGCCCTGGAGTCTGGTGCCTGCCTCTCTGCGCCGGGCATCATCTTGCATTTGAATGAGTCACTCTTTAGGGCGTATTAAAGGCTTAATATTTTATAGGCCAAGCAAAGATTTTTGATTCGGGTTTTAAGGAGGCAGCCTTATTAGTTCTGTTACCTTGGTGAGTTCCGCCAGCAGCTAATGAACTCCACAGTGAGGTAACTTGATCACAGAAGAGGAGAAAATTGACAGATGTGCGCGAACAGAGCTAAGCATTCGGGAGGGAAAAGGAACATGAGAACAAGGCAGAAGAAGAATTGGACCATTTTGTATTTTCCCTTTGTGTAACATCTTGGTATTAACATTTGTTTTTAATTGACTCTAACAAGCAGAATTCAAGCTTCAATAGAATACTCCAGGCCATTTGTAACCGCCAGGGCTGTTTTACAGGTCTTTGAGAAGCCTTCCCCAAATCACAAATCCAACAGTAAAGAGAATTAGGGTTTAAGCCAGCCATCTAGCCACACGTAGCAGGTTCACTAATAGAAACTTTTCCCCCCATTTAGTTTTAGGGCATGTATTTTACTTTACGTGATTTTTACTTACAACTCATTTTTACCCCGAGAAATGCAATATGGGCTAGGGCTACCAGAAACACTTCAGATGCACCATAGCATTGATCTTGGGTTAATTTTTCATTGTTGTGGTTCAGAAACCTTTTACTGTTGCCAAATTTTTCACCTCTCTCTTTTCCCCCATTTAGTTACCTGACCCATTTGGGGATGAGGGCCACAGTATAAGAAGCTAACAACAATAGAACCATTACCTAAAGAATCATAATGAAAACAAGGACTCAAGCATAAAACCAGGATGAGTCTTATCCAGTCTTTTCTATGTATTTATTTTGCTGGTCATGTAGCTCCAAGATGAAAGAAACAAAGAGGAATGTAAACTTAAACCAAATATAAAGAAAATAAAAAACTGGCCTGAGATTGAAACTGAATTGAAATGGGCATTATTTGGTTAAACTCTTTTTACAAATCTGGTCTTTTCTGTCAAATTTAAACATTTCTTGGGGCCAGAGAGATAGTACAGCAGGTAGCCTTGCATGCAGCCGGCCCGGGTTTGATCCTCAGCATCTCATATGGTCCCCTGAGCACCTCCAGGAATGACTCCTGAGTGCAGGGGTAGAAATAAGCCCTGAGCACAGCCAGGTATGGTCCCAGATCAGAAATAGAAAAACAAGTCCCCCATATTCAAACATTTCTATCAAAAGGAAGAAGAAGGTAGAAATCACCTTAAGGCAATAATCAAAACTAACAAGAGTTTTTCTGGGGTGAAATGGGGTAGGGATTGGCAGTGGCATTCTGAAATTTAAGAGTCACATTTGTCCTTACTGTTAAACCCCTAAACCTATAAAATGCAATGAGTGGTCTATCAGGGGACCAATGCCAGCAGCAGTGACAACAGTGAATTCCTATTAATTGATTGACGTGTCTCTGTGAGCACTGTGCAAAGGCACTCTGAGTCATTCCACTTAGTGATAGCACCCTTTCATTCCCACCACCAGCATCATCATGGTGCAGAAGCATGGCTCTGTCCCGTGTCTACTGTGGCGCTATTTAGAATCGCCAAGACCCAAAACAATCAGCAGTCTGGGTCTTCCTCACTTAAGAGGGGGATTTTTTGGAGGGTTGAACATTCCAACCCCCTTGTGAATCTAATCAGAGTTCTTGCACAGTTCTTCAGACGCCCCAACATTTACACATACACACACACACACGCACACACACACACACACACACACACACACACAGTAGAATATCACTCTCTTCTTCAAACATCCACTTCTGTCTCTGAAGAAATAAGAACAGCAGAGATGGCAAGAAATTAGGCTATTCACGGCATTCAGAACAGAATCGTTGTTCATAATACAAAGTGTGGCTTGCAGTCTACTCATGCCAGGCTCCAGAGAGAGCAAACAATTGGATTTTCCCAGTGAAATTGTGAAACAGATGCAATTTACATATTCTCGCATAAGCTCAGGGATCAATTTTTTTTGTACTTGGGGATCAGTGTTTTTAAAGGAGGTGTTTTCTTGCTGTTGCATTTGTGGTAGTCAAAAGTCTCATTTGAATACACTTTATGCTCATGAATTCTGAGCAACATAAAATGCTGAGAGCACATATGTCTTGGTTTTATTATCTGTCTTTTCCCAATACAAATGGAGATGGATATTTTTAGTATAGACATTGAAACACACAAAATCTTAGTATCTTTTATCTGAGGACAGATAAGACTCATTGTCCTGGGCTGTTCATTGGCATGTGACTTGGTCCATATTTTGTGGCATATTATTGCTTAGTAAGTTTGTATGGAATTGAATTACATGGTAATAGATTGGTTCCATGTTGACAGTGTTTGTATCTTTCTCTTTTTGTAGAGATCGTTGTGATTTCCATTTATTTAATCTCAGGTATTTTATTAGCAAAGCCCATTCATGATAGGTCTAAGTTCTCAAGGGGCTTCAGTTGGTTTGTATATTGTGATATAATAAGTACTGGAACTCAGGAAAAGGAAAATAGATTAAAATGAAGCCAGAGGTCATGTTACCGTGCATTGTGGTATTCATGAATTCTTTATGATTTCTAGAATTGAGCTCAGAAACAGCTTAAAATTTTTCTGAGGCCAAAACTTAAGATGGAAAAAACAATTCATTATGAAGAATATTCCCAGGTCCCTGAAGATAAATCCAGCCCTTTGCTTAGAAGATTTCACTTGAACCTTCAGAAAAATGAGTGTAGAGACTCAATAATGAGGAAACATACACAAAGATGTAGACCCCCCAAATCCGTACAAATTAAAATTAAAAGGATTAAGAGATGTAAAGGATTTCAGGTCTTCAGTGACTCTGCATTTATTTTCCCACATAGAAATCTGTTCACGATGGCATCATTATCATATAATCTGAAATCAAGGAGATTAAACCTGATTTTCTGCTTGGGGCTGGGCTTGGGTCACCCCCAACAGTTGGGTAACCCAAGGGTTCATGATCTCATGGCAGAATTTTATTCCCACTTGGACCAGTGGGTTGTCTTGAACTTGGGGGTAGACAGCTCAGATCAGATCAATTCTGAACCTTGTTTGAACCATCAGTTTATTAAAAGCCTGTTTGAGTGGGGGAGGGAAGGGGGTCCTGGGGTGTCAAGGTTATACAGAGCTAAACCATGTGGAGTAAGTGATGGACCCAAACTATACCTCTGTAGGGCCAATTAATTTGCAGCCATAATCCTTTATCTGAGGTTAAGTTACTGCAGTTATGATTCTGTCAGATTCTTTCTTATTGTCACTTTGAATTTTGTAGAAACTTGAACTGGATCGATTCATGCTTTATGCTCACGGACCTGACCTTTGTAGAGAATCTGACCTGCGACATGCAATGGCTAATTGTTTTGAAGCCTTAATAGGTAATGTTTCTTTTCCACACTAGTTTATTGTGTGTCTAAAATGCCTAGAGAGTGTGTGAAATGTGGAAGCTTGAGCCAGAATGACCACTTACACAGCACAGAAGTCTGAGGATAATGTCCACCACCTTATCCTTACGTCAGTTCCCCCAAGAGCAGCACTAGTGCATTCCCAGTGCTGAAAGCTGTCTGCTGTCATGTGTGTACTTGATTGTTGATGCTGAATTGAATGAAGTGAATTCATATGCGGATGGATTACTTGGCTGATTGGATTCAGAATGACAGGCTGGGTTGCTGATGAGACCTTAATACTGGTTTTGTTTTTGTTTTTAATCACATTTCAAACTCTTCACAAGATTTTCTGATGGAAACACCTTGGAAAACTATTTTCCAAAAATCCCAGGGTTTGAGTTTCTACCACTATTATTGATTCCCCTGAATCCAGACAGACACCGACATTTCGCTTCCTCACTCAGGCCCTCAGTTTCTTTTTATCTGCAACCAGAAAGCAATTAGCTGTAGGCGTGGGGAAGGAAGGAAGAGTTAATTGGCTGATGATGGGCCAGTATGCTCTGCAATGAAATGTTAGAATAGATTGACAGTGCCTTGATTTTTTTTTTCAGATAAGTGATCGAGTTTGTACTTCCTTATCATATTTTTTGCCCTGCCTTTGAAAAATGAATATAAAAGCTTCCCATTACAGTTTTATGCTAATGATGGTAGTGAGAGAATGTTTCATAATTATCCAGCCTTTTCACAACCATGTCTGTTTTGTGCAAATATGACTATTTCCAGTGCCATTATGTTGCTAATACGCTCTGGACACATAATATTTTTGACAGTTACTGTTCCAATTGACTATGGGGTCAGGCAGGCATGATTTAATTCCCTCTCAAATTTTTATCAGCTCTGTATTTTTTGCCTTGTTTTGGGGGGCCTCACCTAGTGAGGGGCTGTTCACAGCTGGCTCTGTGCTCAGGGCTGACTAGGTGCTCAAAGGATCACATGTGGTGCTGGGGAGTTAAACCAGGGTCAGCACATGGAAGGCAAGTATCTTAACTCCTGTACTCACTTGCCAGCCTTTGCCAAGTCATTGCATTTCTTTGAGCCTCACTTTCCCCATCAATCCAGAGCAAAGTACCATTTCCTTAAACTCCTCCCCAAGTCACCTCCAATGGACCCCACTTCTCTGAGTCTTCTTTTCTTCTTTAATCACCTTTGTAGTGAGAAGACCAGGGAGATGAAGATAAGAATGTGAAAATGCTCTGGGGGCTAGTATAGAGGGTAAGGTGCTTGCAAGTGGCCAACCCAGATTTGATTCCCTCAGCATCACATGTGGTCCCCTGAGCACTGCCAGGAGTGATCCCTTAGCACCTGCCCAGATGTCCAAAAACAAACAACAGCAACCAAAGGAGCATCTGAACAGCAACGCAGGGCATGTGGCCCGTGTGAAGCATTACTTTCGCCACTGCTGCTGATTGGCTACAATTGCATCATCACATGATCATTGCCGTAACTGTTGATTGGTGATACTTGTTTCATCAGCAAGAGCCCTTATGATCGTCTTAGTATTTGACATTAAAAATAGCCTTTTTGGGGATGAGGAGATAGCTTGGAGGGCTGGAGCATGTTATTTGCATGTGGGAATGCCAGGCTTCCCCTGTACCTTGTGCGATCCTCCCAGGATGGGAGATGCATGCTGAAAGTAGACTATAGACCGAACATGATTGCCACTCAATGCCTCTTTTGCAGACCACAACACTCAAAAAGAGAGAAAGTACAAAGGGGAATGCCCTGCCACAGAGGCAGGGTGGGATAGGGGGGATGGGTGGTGGGAGGGATACTGGGATCCATGGTGGTGGGAAATGGGCACCGGTGGAGGGATGGGTATTTGATCATTGTATAATTGAAACCCAAGCACAAAAATTTGTAAGTCTACAACTGTACCTCATGGTGTTTCACTAATAAAAATTAAAAAAAAAAAGTAACAACAACAAAAAACAATACCCCCTTCCCCCTAGCACTGTGTGAGGAATAAACTTCGAGCACTGCTGGGTGGGCCCCCCAAACCAAATAATAATAATAGACTTCCAAAGATAGATAGAAAGTATGATTTAAAGATAGATGTGAAATAATAACCTTCCAAAGGTTGATGTAAGTATGATTTAAAGATACAAGACCTACTCCATAGTAATTTAATAGGTAGCTTAAGTGTTGTTGCTGTGCTTACTGGCTATTACACTGGCAAATGTATATATAGTTCTATTTCAAATGTTTTAGGTTGTTTCTTTTTCTTTTTCTTATTTGGCTTTTGGGTCCCATTCAGCTGTGTTCAGATCTTACTCTTGGCTCTGAGCTCAGGGGTCACTCCCGGCTGGCTGGCTCCCCATTTGGGTGTTGGGGAATCCAACTCGGCTTGGCTATATAGAAGGCACATGTCCTACTCACTGTACTATCTCTCCAGCCCCAATTTCAAATATTTTAGGCTAAATGATTTCAAATTAATGGTGAAGGTTGTCCTGGTTTGGGGAGGGGCAGAGGGGCTTTTGGGGTGCTCAGGGTTTATTGCTGGCTTTGCACTCAGTTCGTTCATGGCAGGGCTCAGAGGACCATGTAGGGTGCTAGGGATTGAACCCGGATTGGCCTTGGGCAAGGCAAATATCCTGTCTGCTGTACTAATTGCTCTAGCCCCCTGGGTTTTTATTCTCAGAGGCCTTTATTGATCTAGACGCAACAGTTTCTTTTCGTGTGTGTGGTCTGAAACAATCTTTAAATACAGAAAATAAAACATTTATTGTAAAGTACATGAACATCCTTCCCTTGGTAAGTTTCATCCGCATAACCTTCATGGTAGTTCAAATTCAGCGTCTTTCTCTTAAAATATTCAGATTATTGGAATTTGCATGTCTATTTCAGTCTAATCTTTAATATAAAGCACAGCTGAGAGAATAAAATGCTACCATTAAGACAATTGCTTCAGATCTTGTCGTTTTTCCTGTGAGTGGGTTTTGGCTTCCCTTTTTTTGCTTTTTATAGAGATATGTAATTTTCTCTGAATATTAATGCTTTTTTTTTTTTTTTTTTTTTGGTCATCCTCTTCTTTTTTTCCCTAGGAGCTGTTTACTTGGAGGGTAGCCTGGAGGAGGCCAAACAGCTATTTGGACGCTTACTCTTTAATGATCCGGTATTTATCTGTGTCATTTGACTTTGCTGTTACGTATCATTACAGAAGATTTTTACATCAAGTCGTTTTTGTTTGTATTTTGAAGAGAGTGTAGAAGAAACAGAACCCCAAATCTACCTTAGATAGCCAATTTCAAGTCACACCAGATACAGCTTGTTTCTGCCCTGGGAGATGGTGAAGTTCCGTGGGCATTGCCTTATTTTGTGCTACAAGTCTGCCTTCTGTCTGTCACTTGTGAATTCAGTATGAATACAGAAATCGTCGGCCTTGCTTTATTTTGAGGTTGCTCCGAGTTAATTATGATTTTCTGTTTCATAATCGTTGGTTCCCTACCCCATGCCGGGGCATAGTTGGAACTGTAGCTTTTTTGGCATTTGTGTGTAATTCGTTTTTATGTAAATTATGCGGGCTAGATAAATGTATATTTATTCTGCAGAGTCAGTTCATAGGGAGTTTCTGATAGGGCTATGAATAAAGAATATGGAAGGACTTTCTTTTTTTTAAAGCAAATTACAGTTTAAGGAAAAATGATAGATGGTAACGTAGGCTCTGTTGTTACTAAAGTACCGAGCTATTAATATTGCTAGTGCTACCTTTTTAATCCTGCATGTAATAGAGCATCCTGGATGCATTTTGTACCAAAATAAGTCAATTTAACATTTAAAGGGAGAGGCCACTCTGTATTCCAAATTGAAATGTCATTATAATTGAATGAAATAGCCCCCGCGGAGCAATAAAGAACAGGGGAGCCAGTGGCTTAAGCGTTTGTGAAGTTTTCAGCTTAAGTGAATGTCAGATGTTACTACAACGTCAGTTAGGACAATTTTTTTTTTTTTTTTTAAGAATTGGTCATTTTGAAAAATGCAACCTGTCTAAGGATTTGGTCACTCTTGTTTTTGTTAGTGTGTGTGTGTGTGTATGTGTGTGTGTGTGTGTGTGTCTGTGTGTGTGTGTGTGAGATGATTCTATAGGTGTGAATTTTCTGATGGAGAAATTATCTACAGATGTTCCATCCCTCCCATTTTGTCCTAGACATAGAAACAAGCTTGCATCTTGATTTGTATCCGTAGCAGATGGCGTATATTTTAAGACTCGTCCTCAAATCTTAAAATACCGTCGTTCTGGTCTTCGAGGGCGATGTCAGCAATCTCCTTTGTTCCCTCCCTCCTGTCATGTCTCTGAACGTGCCCACCTTCCTTAAGCGCACCTTCCTGGTCCCCTCCCCTCCACCCCTTCCCTGTGCCCACACCCACCCACTCCCTCTTTCAACATTGGGCATGCATCCCTATCTTGTGCTCTTAATTGCTTCCTTTTTTTTTGGTTTAGATTCCTTTTGTTCTCAAAATTCCTTCCCTCCCTCTTAATGACTTAGCAGGCTTACCTTGTATTTCCAGCATTGGGGGCACCGTGGACATAGGCAGGGTTTATTTATTTAATGTTTGTTAGAAGAGGAAATGAGTTAATGGTAGAGGGGAAGAATAGCTAGCCTGATCAAGTTCTTCCAAGGGGACACAGTGATTTAGAATTCCTTCCAGCACATCTACTGGGGCACAAAAGAGGGCTTCCTTCCATATCCCTGTTGCTCTTGCTGTGGCCTTCTTCACCCCTACCCTCATCCCCTATGCTGGGCTACTCACCTGGGCCACCCACCTGCCCACTTCCCATGGGTCTGCTGTTATTAGTGGACATGTGTGAGGAACAGAGGCGCCCCATGGGGGGTGCGGAACCTGTCTATAGGGCGAGTCTGGGAGTTTCCTCAGTCTCCAGATGCCCATCCCCTCCGAGGCCTGTGCTGGTGGTCACTGACTTCAGGGCCAACAGGATGCGAGTGGTTTGCTTGCTTGCCTTGTGTGAGGCCAGACGAGAAGCGGCAAGGAATTCATTTCCTTGAGAAAGCATCACTCGTGGTATTGTAAATCACAGAGCCTCATTCGATCAAAAAATTAATCAAATAAACAAAGAAAACTTGGGAGCCATCAGGAGGTGAGGATGAGTCTAGTAGTTGTGTGTCTCGAGCAACTGTGACCTGGGGGGACAGACAGCAGAGCCAGGCCATGGGGCGGTGGGCGGTGGGGCTCTTGACGAATCTCCCACCCCTGCCAGCCTTGAGGAGAACATTATTCCTCCTGTGGGCAGCAGGCCTTGCTCCTTTCACAGCCACAACTACTTTTCACTTCCGGCCTGGACAGTTGTGCTACTAGCATTCTTTTTTTTAATTATCTGAGGGTATCCAGGTCTTCTGGGTTTTACCTGGAGTGTTTTAAGATGTCACATATATTTGCTTACCAAAGTGGTCTACTTAGACTGGGAGAGGGGGAGAGGTGACCCTGCCATTTTTCTATTCTTAGACACACACACACACACACACACACACACACACACACGGAGAGATGACACTAATCTTCCTCGTCTTATATACACACACTGACACGCAGACACACACACACACACACACATACACACATCCAAAATGACTCTATAATCTTTCTATCTCCCACATGCCTTATGAGACCCTTCTGGGAACTCCAGAAATGGAAATGATGTCTTTTCCTGTGGGAGCTCCACAGACACCTCATTTCACACAGGGTTAGTAGTTGAACCCATCACCTTAGGCCCCAAATATTTCTCCTTTATTTTTATCCCCTGAGCTTGACACCTTAGGAGTTTCTTTTCTTGCCCCGGAGACTTTTCTTCCCACATGCATCGCTGGGCCAAATCCTGCTGACCTTGTCCTGTATCTCTGACAAGCCCATTTGCTCCTGGCCATCCAGTGCTCTCCTTTGAGTGTGTCCCAGGTTCCTGGCTCATGGGTGGCTGCGTTCTGCACCCCCGCCCCCCCCCCAAGACCACCCTCCCTCAACTTGGGGTGTAGTCTCCTGTGAAATGCCTGCTGACTTTAAGTTCTGGTCCTCTCGAGTGCCTGACCCTGTCAGTGCCAGGCCTGTCCCTCCGTAGCTCTCAGGGGAGGTCCTCATCCAGCCCGCACCTCTGTTCCTTATCCTCTTTGTTCTCATGTCCCCTTTGTGCCTTTCAAGGGACCATGCTTTTTTTCTTTAGAAAAAAATGTGTTCACTTCAAAACAGAGAAAAGAAACCCAATTTCCTTCTTATTCTTTTTTTTTTTTTTTTTTTTTTTACTTTTCGGGTCACACCCGACAATGCACAGGGATTAGTCCTGGCTCTGCACTCAGGAATTATTCCTCGTGGTGCTTGGGGGACCATATGAGATGCTGGGAATCGAACCCAGGTTGACTGCATGCAAGGCAAACGCCCTACCCGCTGTGCAATTGCTCCAGCTCCCCCCCCCCCCCTTTTTTTAATCAAATCACTGTGAGGTACAGTTACAAAGCTCTTGTGTTTGAGTTTCAGTCATACAATGATCAAACACCTATTCTTTCACCAGTGCACATTCTCCACCACGAATGTCCCCAGTATAACCCCCCCCCTCCCCCTTTCCAACCTTCCCCTGCCTCTGTGGCAGACAATTTCCCCCAAACTCTCTCTCTACTTTTGGGAATTATGGTTTACAATACAGATATTGAGAGGTTATCACATTTGATCCTGTATCTACTTTCAGCACACATCTCCCATCTTGAACGATCTCTCCAACCATTATTGACTTAGTGATCCCTTCTCTATTCCAGCTGCCTTCTCCCCCAGCTCATGGGGTAGGCTTTCAACTATGGGGCAATATTCCTGGCCCTTGTGTCTACTGAAGGGACCCGATTTCCCATGTGCACCCCACTTGCACCCCAGGGGCTTGAGCCTTTTGACATGGGGTTCCTCCACCAGACTGGGGTGCATGTATCGGTCCTTGAGCCTCGGTGGACACAGCCTAAGCACCCTGGGACCATGGCTTGCCTGAGACTTCACCCTGGGTGGTGGTCATTCCTGGGCAGAGAGCCGAATGTGTCTAGCAATCACAGCACTGGGCAGAGTGGCATGGGCGCCCTCTTCTCCTCAGTGCTTTGCCTAGTCAGGGTAGCTTCTGGGGACTCGTTCCCTCAGAGCCATTACTTCTGCTCTCTGTGTCTTTCTTCCACCCGTTTTTCAGGAGACATCCAAAGGACAGCTCCCCTTGCACGCAGTGTAAACTGCATCATACCGCAAAAATACCCTGTAGGGTTGTCCAGTTCTCTGAACTTACCTTCCCTGCTCCCTGCCAGCCTTGTTTGAGGGCCAGGACGGTATCCGTTTATCTTCATAAGCTCGAACATAACAGATCAGCAGTAAGAGATGCCACATGAAACCAATGGCCTGGCAATTCATGCTTTCCAGAAACACCAACCAGAGGGAGAGGCTCTGCCCGAGGTCCACGCTGGACAAACGGACAGCTGGTGTCCCAGTGTCGAGCTGTTCTGGAATACTGTCTCTGTCACTGAGGTGCAGCCCAACTTACTCGGCATACCACGACTGCACGGATGAATGTGGACACCACTGGGAGCCACTTGTTGGAGGGGTGGCTGCAGGCATATAGGGGAGAAATCCCTTTTTGGTTTTGTTTTTTGTGCCATATCCGGTGGTACTCAGAGCTTAATGCTGGCTCTGCTCTTCGAGATCTCTCCTGGCTCCTGGTGGGACTCAGGGGGTCATATGTGGTGGTTTGACTCTGGATCAAACCGCCACAAATGCCTGCATATTCCCCTGACTGTAAGGCAGATGCCTTACCCACTGTCCTATCTCTCAGGCCCCTGGAGAAATCACTCTCAGAGCAAATGTTTGTTTTGAAACCCCAGTCACTGTGTTTTTCAAAACCGAATGACAGGGTCTTGTGTGTGTGACGTTCCGACAGCCCAGCCTTCACCAGGATCCTGTTTGCCTCCCAGAGGCACACACCCTACGTTCACATTCCCTCATTCCCTCTACCCTGAGCAGCTCAGTTCTATTTTTTTTTTCTTCCCGATAGCACAGTGGGTAAGGTGTTTGCCTTGCAAGCTGCCAATATGGCCCACCCAAGTTCGATTCCTCCGCCCCTCTCGGAGAGCCCGGCAAGCTACCGAGAGTATCCCGCCCGCATGGCAGAGCCTGGCAAGCTACCCGTGAAGTATTCAATATGCCAAACACAGTGACAACAAGTCTCACGATGGAGATGTTACTGGGCCTGCTTGAGCAAATCGATGAACAACGGGAGGACCGTGACCATGACCCCTTTTTATTGATTCACCATGAGGTACAGTAACAGAGCTTTCATGTTTGAGCTTCAATCATACAATCATCAAACACCTATCCCTTCACCAGTACACATTTTCCACTGTCAAAATCTCCAGTATCCCACCCCCCACCCCCATTCACACCTACCCCTGCCTGTGTGGCAAACAATTTGCACAATACTCTCTTTCTCTACTTTGGTATTTTGAGACCAGTCCCACCACCACTCATACCTGCTGATAAGGCAATGGCTAGACAATGTGTTTTGTATTGCTTGTTATAGATACAATATAATGTCTAAGAATTCTAAAATTTTAATAATTAGGGTCTGGAGAAATTGCTGCAGCAAGTTGCTCAGGTCTGAGATTCATCTGTGTGTCTCTGAATCACCACGTGAAAGCTTAAGTAGATGGTGGCCGTATGTGGCCATTATTTCAGAGTCCCATTTGGGCAGGGGAAGGAGAAGGGCCCACTCCTCCTCTGTCCTGTGAGGAGGGACGGCACCTGCCCCCATCTGGAGTGGCCTGGCGAAAGTGGCCTATTGCAAAATCCAGAGTCATCTCTGCAGCAAGTTGCTCGGGTCTCAGGTTCATTTGTGTGTTTGTCGCAGCTCAGTTCTGAGCGCCACTTCCCAGGCCCTGCTGCCTTTGGCCACTTGCTGTTCCCTCACCGTATGTGTCACCTGTGAGAGGTCACCCAGAAATCACGCTTGTGAGTGAAAAGCAAGAGGAGAGAAATGAAGCAAGAAGAAGTGCAGGAGAATTTGTCCCTGCAGAGACTGGTGTGGGTGGGTGGGTGCGTGGGTGGGAAGGGAGTGCTTGGGGTCAGTGTCATTGGCACTGTGGCTCTCCCATCGCCCGTCCTGGCCTCGGGGTTCTGACCGCCTCTCTCCGTGAGAGGTCAGAGAACTCGTACAAGTAGCAGTACAGCCTTGACCCTGGTCTCCACGCCACGTTTGCCCCGGAAGTTTTAAGTACTTTGCCAGTATGAGCAGGGAGCCTCTGGGCTTAATGCTGGCCCATGCCTTAGGGCTCAGCATCAGCCTTAGCCTGGAAATGTACCTAACACCTGCTTCTGGATTCAAGGTGAAAGGCTATTACCTGGTCGGCGGTTCAAGATGCCCCTCTAGAGAATGAGGGTCGCGTGCCCAGGGCACAGAGAAGTCAGTGGGCATGGGTGAGGTGTTTCCCAGAGCAGGTGGCAAGGGGATTGAGGCAAGACTGGACTTCGGTACATGTTTTCAGGTGGAGGAGAGGAAGAGCATTACAAGGACCTCAGAAATTTGCAGTAAGGGGCGCCAGTGTGATTCAAGCTCCAGAGAATCCAAGGCAAAGTGGATTGAGCTGGTTCAGCAAAGTTCTTTAAAATACCTTAAAGGTAGAGTTCAGTGGTTACACTTTTTTTTTTTTAATATTGGCAACATGGAAAGTACAAAATGCCACCAACATTGTTTATTAAGATGCAGGTTCTATGATTGCCATTCAATGCCTCTTTTGCAGACCACAACACCCAAAAGGAGAGAGAGAACAAAGGGGAATGCCCTGCAACAGAGGCAGGGTGGGAGGGGGGGTGGGGGGAAATGGGCACTGGTGGAGGGATGGGTATTTGATCATTGTATGACCGAAACTCAGGCACAAAGATTTGTAAATCTACAACTGTACCTCATGGTGCTTCACTAATAAAAATAAATAAATAAATAAATTAAAAAAAAAAAGATGCAGGTTCTACAGAGTGAGCAGGGATTTTATTTCATTGTACATCACTGTGTCACAAAATGATTGAAAATTTTCCTTGGGCTTTCTCAGCCCAAGTCATTAAGGGAGAAAAAAAAATGCTTTCTCTTTTAAGAAACTTTTCTGTTACTTCAAAACCCTGACATCAAGGTTAGAAACTAGATTCACTTAAGAGGCTCCTGAGAATTTTAAAACTGAAGGAGGAACACACACACACACACACACACACACACACACACATACACACACACACACATACACACACACACACACACACACTTCAATCCCCAAAGGAAGTTCTGATTATTACTGGTTCTCTTTGTGACCCTTGATGTAAGGACATTATGGGGTTTTCTAAAATTCCTTCCCCGACCTCATGTAAATCCTCGATGTGACCCTGTAGTGTAAATTCCAGAGCCCAGCCCCTAGACACGGCATGTTCTCCACCCCCTCTTAAAATGTCTCACATGGTGATAATGCGTTAATGCCTCCACTAGGGGACATTTAAGATGAGTCTTAATTATGAGAGGCTGCGCTGATGCGCATTTCTTGGGGATGGCGAACTGGAAAACAATATGATTAGAGCCTCTTCCAGCGGATTGGGTTGAACAAAGGCGGAACTTCGTTATGAAAGGTGTCTGACTTCTGGGGGTGCGGGTGGCGCTCCCCCTCTCCTACCCACTTAGTGGGCTCATCAGAAGCACTATTGGCAGTTTGAGTGGTGAACACATCCCTCCACCCAAAACCGAGTTTGCAGACCTATTGAATTTGCAGTGAGTGGAGGTCAGCACATGAAAGAATTTCAGACAGTGGCATGTATGTTACTTTGCACGTGTGTGTGTGTGTGTGTGTGTGTGTGTGTGTGTGTGTGTGTGTGGCTAAGTGGCTGTCTGCAGCATTAAAGGCCTTGCTCCATTTTCCAGGACCTGCGTGAAGTCTGGCTCAATTACCCTCTCCACCCGCTCCAGGTAAGTCCAGTGTCCATAGCGCTGGGGTTGGCCTCTGTCGTGTCATTCCCCCGCCTTGTTCTCATCTTCAGATGCTCTTCAGACTCCTGCCTCCAAGCTGGGAGGTTGGAATTGGGAAACTTAGAAACAGGTAGATAGGGTGAGCCTGCCCATGTGTTCACTCGGGATGGGCAAGTATCGAAGTCACCTGCCTTCAGGATCTTTGTGTGGTCATATAGGATTGACCATCACTTGACCCCGAAGGGGATGTTCAGGTGTTGGCTCTCTTATTTCTACCTGCTTGCTATAGTAGAGAAGAAAAAAAAAGACAGAAGAAAAAAAGGAAGTCTGAACTTACTAGAAAGTAGAAAAGACCCTACATGGACATTGCTAAATTAAACCTTCATTTGAACTTGAGAAATTGAGTGCTAGGGAGTGGGAGGGGGGCCATATCTTACCGTACTCAAGGGCCAGTCCTGGTTCTTGCTCAGGAGTGACCCCAGCTGGTTCACAGGGACCATCTGCAGGGCTGGGGGAGGGGGGCGATCAAACCAGGGTTGGCTTCATGCAAGGAAATGGAAGACTTTGACTCGGATTGTCTAAGACATAATATACTTTCGGGGACTGAACGGGCAGAACATGGCTTGTTTTAAAGCAGCCAGCCCAGATTTGATCCCTAGCACCCCATATGGTCCTCACAAACCCCCGGGCACAGCGCTAACTGTAAGTCTTAAGCACCGCCAGGTTTTGCCCCAAAACAAAACTACAAAGATGTGTGTTTGTTTGTTTGTTTGTTTTTACTTAGTGCAGTCTGGGTCTGGGGAGATGGTTCAGCAGATAGGGCACTTGCCTTGCACGCGGCCAGCCAGGTTCTAGCCCCAGAACCTCACATGGTCCCTGAGCACAGCTGGGTATGGCCTGCAAATTAAAAAAAATATATATATACACACACACACACACACACACACACACACACACACACACATATATATATAATTGAGTAGCTTCATTGAAGATTTTTTTTTTTTGCTTTTTTTGGGGTCACGCTCGGTGATGCACAGGGGTCATTCCTGGCTCATGTACTCAGGAATTACTCCTGGAGGTGCTCCGGGGACCATATGGGATGCTGGGAATAGAACCCCGGTCAGCCGCATGCAAGTTAAATGCCCTTCCCGCTGTGCTGTCGCTCCAGCCCCTCATTGAAGATTTTGGAACTGATAATACTTCTACATGTGACATTCCTTTTCATAACTAGCGTTAAAATTCTTTGCTTTTATTTTGCTACTGCTTTGATTATATATATATGTATATATATGCATACATGTATTTTACATATAAATGTATAGATTTAGTAAGAGAATAATCGCTAGTGGCTAAACCTCTTGTGATAGACCTTGCAATTGTAAAAAGCATCAGTTCAGACTGCTTTAGAAATAAATACTTCCTTAATATGAAATTACCCAAAGTTGGTCAAAATGTTCTTATTGTCTTGGCAGTGCCAAGAATTTAACTCGGGGCTTTGCACATACAAATGCTCTACCACTGAACTACATCCTGGCCCGGAAATAATTCTCTTTTAATTGCCCTTTTGGTCTCAGCTGTGCCGGCTATTAATGGCTCGTTGTGACTTGGGCTTAACCTGTCAATACCTAACCCCTCCTGTGTTTGGCCCAGCTGCAGTGGGGCTCATTGCCAAAGTAAGTGGGTCTCTAGAAGATTCACATTGGTCAAGTTTCCTCCTTCCCTAAGGTTAGGTCCCAGAACACTAGCCTCTGTGGTCCCCTGGAATCTCAGTCCTTTCTCCAGACATCTCCAGACAATCCAGATATTCCTCCAGACATTATATATTATAAATATATAATATATGTATGTTGGCTGCGTGCAAGGCAAACGCCCTACCGCTGTGCTATCGCTCCAGCCCTAGGAGCACGCAGCCAACATGGCCGACCCGAGTTCGATTCCTCTGCCCCTCTCGGAGAGCCCGGCAAGCTACCGAGAGTATCTTCCCCGCACGACAGAGCCTGGCAAGCTCCCTGTGACGTATTCGATATGCCATACACAGTAACAACAAAGTCTCCAATGGAGACGTTACTGGGCCCGCTCGAGCAAATTGATGATCAACGGGAGGGCCTTTTTACTTTACTTAATATATGTATATATATGTATATATATATATATGTATATGCACTGTAGCACTGTCCTCCCGTTGTTCATCAATTTGCTCGAGCAGGCATCAGTAGCTGGTGTTGTTGTTACTGTTTTTGCCATATCGAATATATCATGGGTAGCTATATATAGCACTGTGCTATCCTCTCGTTGTTCATTGATTTGCTCGAACAGGCCCAGTAACATCTCCATTGTAAGACTTGTTACTGTGTTTGGTATATCGAATACGTCATGGGTAGCATGCCAGGCTTTGCCTCGCAGGTGAGATACTCGCAGTAGCTTGCTGGGCTCTCCGAGAAGGGTGGAGGAATCAAACTCGAGTTAGCCAGGTCAGCGGCGTGCAAGACAACGACCCTACCCACTGTGCTATATATTGCTAGATATATATATATAGCAATTTTTCTGCTAGCACTTTTTCTGCTGGCCTTTTCCTTGGAGACTTAGTCTAATATGTGAGATTTTGAACTTTCTGTGTACAGGACCTGGCCTTGAAATGTGATAAGAGATCGGAAAATATTATTTGAACCTTCTTTAAATATTAGACTTGTTTGCCATTCTAAGGGACTAGAAAGAAGCTTCTTGGTTGTATTGGCATTTCAGAAATTTCTGCCCATGGGAGAGGGAATTTTACAGAAACACTCAGCCTAGCAGGGTGACCCGAGACTGCGCCGGGTGTGTAATTTCTTTCTCTTTCCCCGTAGCTGCAGGAACCTAACACCGACCGACAGCTGATTGAGACCTCGCCAGTTCTCCAGAAGCTGACGGAGTTCGAAGAGGCCATCGGAGTCATTTTCACTCACGTGCGGCTTCTGGCCCGAGCATTCACGCTGAGAACTGTGGGCTTTAACCACCTGACTCTGTGAGTTATAGAAGGACATGAGGGCTGCCTGTGTGACCCCATAGCAGCGCTTGACAACAGGCCTCTCTCCCGGAATGGGGCTCTCACTCCTGTTTCTTGTGGATGGTGCATTGTGAGTTGGATGATAGTGGACCTGGGTGTGGACCCAGGGAACTTGCTCCCATGGGAATTTTTGGTCATCTTGACAAGTACCTTCTTTTTTTTTTTTCTTTTTGGTCATCTTGACAAGTACCTTCTTTTTTTTTTTCTTTTTGGGCCACACCCAGCAATGCTCAGGGGTAACTCCTGACTCTGCACTCAGGAATTACTCCTGGCTGGGCTGGAGGGACCAAATGGGATGCCGGGGATTGAACCCAGGTCAGCCGTGTGCAAGGCAAATGCTCTACTCGGTATACTATCACTCTGGCTCATAAACATCTTATTCTTTCATGAAGTTATTAAGAAAAGTGTGGAGGAATAAACTCTTACTCTGCCAAGGTATTTGAGGCAAAGCATCTCAGGTTTTACAGACCACGAGTGGTTCTCCAGTGCAGTACTTGACTCCGCCGTAGCAGCCTGAAGCCATGCAAGATAAAATAAGCACAAGTGAACATCTCTGCATCCCAGTGATGCTTTATTGACAAAGCCGGGCCCCAGGCTGAATCTGGCCCTTCACCCTCTGCTCTCTGTGGATGATTTAAAGATGAACTAGACAAAGAATTAGGATATTAACCAAAATGGTGTGGCAGAGTTTGCTGGGATTTTGTTTTTGTTGTTTTTTTTTTCCTCCCCTCCTCTGAGTCAGAAATCCTCACATCTCTTTAAAGATGAAAGATTCTAGTCATAGATATTGTTTTTTTTTTCAGTATTCTAAAACAAATTTCTCAATTTGAATAGCGAGGTATACATTTCAATAAAGAGATAATAAGCATTGGGCCTTTTCACTTTTTTTTTTTAACCCCAAAGCTCTTGTCTATACTTGTAATTTTCTAATTCTCAGTTTCTTACCAGGGATCAATTACCAGTCTTCATTTTATTTATTTCTATTTCTTTTTGAGGGGAGGAGCACAGCCAGCCTGCTTGGGAGTCATTCCAGGCAGTGCTTCTAGGGCCATCCACAGCACTGCGGGTGGACCCAGGGTCATCGCATGCAACTGCCAGCACCTTTAACCCTGGACTTTATTTTGGTAGTTGTTTAATTGATAGCTAGTATGCTTCTTTGAAACCTTTCCTCAGTCTGTACCATCTCAGATCTCTTCTCAGCGGAAGGTCCTTGGGGAATTATGTTTAATTTATACCTTTTAAGCTTTGTTTTGTTTGGGGGTACAGCTGGAGGTGCTTAGAGCTTGCTCTTGGTTCTGCACTCTGAGTTTACTCCTGGCCATGCTTGGGGGACCATGTGTGGTGCCAGGGATCAAATCAGGGTCCACTGCATGCAAGGCAAGCTCCTCACCCTCTATACATCTCCCACCCAACCAACTTTTATTTCCAGTGAGACCCACCCACAACTATTAGCTTTGAGGGCCCAGACAGTTCCAGGGGTTGAACTGAGGGCCTCACTCCTGCCAGGCCGAGCTTTACCTCTTTTTATTATTATTATTATTATTATTATTATTATTATTTTATTTTTATAAAGTAGTTTGTAATATTTGATTACACTTAATATTCGAACAGCAATCCCACCATCACTACACCTTCCCACCACCATAGTGTGGATGTTTCCATCCCGAACCCCAACCCCTACCTCAAAGCAGAACCGAAATAATTTATTTTGTGTTGTTTATTATGACTAAACCACAGAAATGCTCCAAAAACCTTAGAGGAGGATATGTGAAGATTATATTTCACTGTGGGGCCATTAAGCCCTTCTATAAGAGATTACTAATATGTTGTTAAGGGTTGAGCCTTGTGTGCTTATGTGTGTGTGTGTGTGTGTGTGTGTGTGTGTGTGTGTGTGTGTATCTGCAAAAATATACTTCCCTCTAAGCTTGGGTTGCCTTCTTCTTTAAACCCAATCCAATGTAGCACACTACTCTTGGAATATGAGTGGTGTAAGGTATGAGAGTCCAGGAATAGGTTTACTTTGTGGATGAGGGTTGGCCCGAGTGTGTGGAGAGTGGCCATGGGCATGGCTGCAGTTGAGTTCTGGATGTTTTCAGCCTCTGGGGTTGGGTCTTTTGGGGTGAGGGGGCCCTCATTACCCCTTCCAGGGTTGGTTGGACTTTACCTCTTGAACTATCTTCCCAGCCCCTAGTTTTGTTCTGATAAGCATTATGAACACATTGTGGTTTAAAATTGTATCTTTTGAAAACCTGGATTTTGTTGTTTTTTTTGTCTTTTGCTTTTTGGGTCACACCCGGCGATGCTCAGGGGTTACTCCTGGCTCATGCACTCAGGAATCACTCCTGGCGGTGCTCAGGGGACCATATGGGATGCTGGGAATCGAACCTGTATCTGCCATGTTGGCTGTGTGCAAGGCAAACACCCTACCTGCTGTGCTATCGCTCCAGCCCCAACCTGGATTTTGTTTTTAATGCTTAATGATCTTTCTCCATTTTTTTTGGGGGGGGGGCTTTTTTGGGTTACACCCAGTGATGCTCAGGGGTTACACCCAGTGGGTGATGCTCAGTCCTGGCTCCACACTCAGGGATCACTCCTGGTCTTGCTGAGAGGACCATATGGGATGCCGGGGATCAAATCTGGGTCAGCCGTGTGCAAGACAAATGCCCTCCCTGCTGTACTATTGCTGCAAGCCCTTTACTGATCTCTTTAAATTGATGCCTTTTTTTTTTTCTTTCCATCCCCCAGAGGCCACAATCAGAGGATGGAGTTCCTGGGTGACTCTATAATGCAGCTGGTGGCTACGGAATATTTGTTCATTCACTTCCCTGATCATCATGAAGGACACCTAACTGTGAGTTTGCACTCAACCATTTCTGGTAGTAAATTTGTTGTATCAGAAAGAACAGGAACTAGAAGAGTCCAACAGGTTTATGTAGCTGATGATTTAGTTCTTGGCCGAATGTCATTTGACTTTGTTCCTTTGAGCATGCCGAATGTTTATACAAAACAACATGCAGTAAGAACTCGTTGTGGACTTCTTCAGTTAATGATGGCCTGCTAGTGCCAGACACTGTGCTGGGGTTCACGAAGGGTGCAAATATTAGCTGGCACTCAATCCATCCAGAGCTTTAATCGTATTACAAGTACTAGATATATATTTGCATATGGTATGTACATACTTGCACATTATCAAAAGAGCAAGTAAGTATTATTATAGCTAAAGAGAAGGCTGAACAATGTTAACTATTATAAGGGAGGCATACGTACTTCTGTACTTGTGCATTTAGGGAAAGGTACGACTTTGTTTAGCTCTGGAGTTTCAGGTTGGCTGTAGGGATCTGATCATGTGTTTAAATGTGGATATTAAATATGGGTATTAAAATCAGGAATTGGTCTCTGGGAGGTGGGAGGGGGAAATTTCTCTCGAAGGCTGTTTCATACAACGGGACTACAAAAATGTACAGAAAAAAAATAGAGACTGAGAGAGGCTGTGGGAATTCTGGAAGCCTTGGTGGAGAAGAGATGAGGTTAGATTTATAAACAACATGAGGTGGTTCCCATCTCTCTCGCTTTGGTTTCATTTTATAAAACTTTACTGAGCTCTTTTTATTTGCTGCATACTGATTTTACTGGATGAAACTGATAAGTATTACTAGAACCATAAACAAAACATCTCCATGATGACCTTGCAAGGCGCAGAGAGTAAACTTTGAAGAGACCCTCTAGGATTTGGCATTGAGAATGCAGCTGCTCTATGAGCAGAGCAGAGTGGCAGGACAGCAGAAGATGCTTTGTTTGTGCAGACAGATGTCATCTTTGGGAAAGCCATTAGTCTCAGAACTCAATGACTGCTGGAATGTTTTGCTTTGAATAGAATTGGACCCTGTCCCAGCAGCAGTGAACCCTGGAAATAGTTTATGTATGGCACAAATACTGGAGGTCTGGTGATGGGACCATGCTTAGATGTAATTTTTATTTTTTTAAATTTATTTATTTTTGCTCTTTGGGTCACACCCGGCGAGGCACAGGGGTTACTCCTGGCTCAAGCACTCAGGAATTACTCCTGGCGGTGCTTGAGGGGACCATATGGGATGCTGTAAATCAGACTCCGGTCAGCCGCGTGCAAGGCAAACGCCCTACCCGCTGTGCTATCTCTCCAGCCCCTTTGATGTAATTTTTCAGCAGATTTTGTAAACCTAATGAAGTACAGTGTCTATATTCACTTAGTGAATTTTTATTGTCTCCAACTGTGTTCCACTTACCATCATATGCACCAGGAAATTTGCAGGCCTTTTGTTTTAAATTTAATATTAAATTGGTAGTTTGCCATTTAAAGCTTACTTTAAATGGATGAACAGGAAAGTGATTTCTTCTGGAAATACGCTAAGTTCTTAAGAACATAAGGACATTTACCAGAAATCAAATAGTTTCTGATATTGTGCCCTTCCTACCTCTGGGAAACAAACAGCTCACTCAATATCTTGCACTAAGGAAGACACTTAATAATCGTCAGGGCATCTGGTTGACCCGAGATATGGGCAAACCAAATGGGATGGATTGACATAGAAATTCATCTTCCAGCTATATAGAGGCTGCTGTTGAAATGCAACTTAAATGCATAGATTTATCTCAGCATTTCTACAAAATTAATTGTGAGCTCTAGGAATTTGTGGTGGTGGGTTGTCTAGAGTCAGCAGAGTTTCTGCTTCTCATCCTGGTCGCTATATATTCACCTCCAGCTTTAAATGGATAAACAGGAAAGTGATCTCTTCTGGAAATACGCAAAGTTCTTAAGAACATAAAGGCATTTACCAGAAATAAAATAGTTTCACCCCCAACTTCAGATCACTACTGGAACCATCTGGGCAATGCTTGGGGTGCATTTTCTGGGTGTTTGGTGTTTTTTTTTTGTTTTGTTCTTGCTTCAAGAAGGTAGTTTTCTAGGGGGGTGCTGAATGTTTTGTTTCTGTAAAAGGGGTGATAGACCAGGTAAGTGTGGGAACCTCTAACCCAGCTAAAGGTCAAACCAGGACTAGATTAGTGACCCTGTTTTTGTTCGTCCCAGAATCTATTGGGTGCTACAACTTCAGCTTTAGCCTCTGTGTGTTTATCCACCTCGTTCTCTTAGGGACTCTGTGGAGTAGTTTGTTATCACGTCAGAAAATTACAGGATCATGGGTTTTAGTTTTACTTTTGTTTGGGCGCCACACCCAGGACTGCTCAGCAGTTATTCCTGGCTCTGTGCTCAGGGTTCACTTTTGGAAGGGTGTCAGAGACCGTCATCTGTGGCTCTGGGGATCAAACTGAGATCAGCCAAATGCAAAGCAAGTGCTCTGTCCACCATACTTTCTCTCTCCTGCCCCTATGATGGTTCCATTCCCAGGTAGAAATTAATGGAACCGGTGAGGGCAGGGAAGCGGGCCCAAAAAACTTGAGCACATCCTAGCGTGCCCACGCTAACCCACTCCAGCCCTGGAACTGTGTGGCCTTTCCATGCACTGCTGGGTGTAGCCCTGGTGACCCCAGCACTACTGGCAAGACCCCTTTGCCTCCCAAGCCCCAAAGATAACTCAAAACAAAGTGGAACCATTAGCTCTTCTGGCAAAGCAAACATCTGGCATCCGTAAGATCCTTATTTTAGTTAATTTTGCCATGCCAGGCATTTGTTCACCCAGGCCTCTCACGCAAGCTGTGTGCTGTACCACTCAGCCATGTTCCTGGCCCCAAACACAGGTTTTGAAAGATATCAACTGTCTTCGGCTTCCACATGGTTGCCATGCCCGAAACCTGGTCTCTCATTGGCTTCAATCCCATGGTTTTCACTCCCTCCCTCCTCCCACCACCCCCCCCCCCCACACACACACACACATACACACCTTCTTTTGGTGTGTGGGCCACATATGACTCTGTGATCATAGAGACCCTGGGCTGGTGCTTGGGGGACCATATGCGGTGCTGGGATTCAAACCATTGTTGCAGTCACAGCCGCATGTTAGGCCTTTACCTCTGTACTGTCTTTCCCGTTTCCTACTCTTTTTTTTTTGGGTGGGGGGGTTCCCGGCAATAAGCTCAGGGCTAATTCCTGACTCTGCACTCAGAAATCACTTCTGGAAGGGCTTGCAGTGCTGGGGATTGAACCCAGGTCAGCCACATGCAAGGCAGCGCCCTCCCTACTATATTGTCTCTCTGGCCTCTGGCTGTTCCTCTTTACCCTCCTGTGCAGGAACATCCTGTTCTTTCCAAGTGACAGATATCCCACTGTTAGAAAGCATACCCTAGTAGTTGTAACCTACGGCATGCATGAGTTTTCTCCTCCATATCTCTCTTGGGGGTGGTGGATTGGGTCACACCCCACAGTGCTCAGGACTTACTCCCAGCTCTGTGCTTAGGGTTATTCCTGGCGGTGCTTAGGGGACCATGTGCTGGGGATCAAACTGGGATGGGCCACTTGCACCCAAGTGCCTAAGCCTTGTACTATCTCTCCAGCCCCTTCTTGGCCACTTTCTTTTCTTGTAACCCTTATTACTCAGCTGATGATCCCCCACTGATGCCATGCCGGCTGCCCAATAGCGGCATGAACCAACGAGACGGACCTGCAGGAATGTGGGGCTGTTCCTTAGAGGAATGATGGAGGATAATGGGAAAGCAAAGAGTCCAGGCAAGAGGTGTGTCCCTGTTCTCCCTCCAAACAGCTCCAGTCACCAACCGTGCTGACGGATGCAGCAACTTGCCGACAGACAGGATCTCGTTGCAGAGAGCCTGGCCAGGGATTTCTCTGTCACTGGTGTAATCTGGGTCTTTGTCGCTGGCCTGCCTCCTGCCTGTTGGCATTTGTACACCTTTGCTTTAGTTATCAAGGGAAATGGAGACCATCTGGCTGCCGCTCGTAGTAAGAGAGACCGGCGTGGCCCGTAGCTGTCACTCCTGATAATCTGCTTCTCCCTGTGCTCGGAGGCCTCCGACGGTGTCTCCATCACCCCCTTCACTCTTGGGGCCCTCTCCGGTAGCTCCTCTCCACATGCCACAGCCCAAGGCTCCTCTTTAGAGTCGAGAGTGAATGAAGAAATGGAACGCATGCCAATATGTGTCTTGGTTGTAAACCAATCAGCTTTTTTCTATTTAAAAATAAGTCCAAACTCTTTTTTTTTTTTTAAATTTTTTATCTTTTCAAAGACTGCTCAGCTGAGATCAGAGCAAATATCGGGAGTTCTCCCAGTCAGCCTCTGGCATGGGTGAGACCCTGCTTCTTGGCCCTCAGCCTTGCAGTGGGGACTTGGGGCTTTCTCCTCAGATTGCTTTACTTTCTTTCCCCTGGTGATTTGTCTTGCTTAGAGTGTTTTTTTTCTTTTTTTAATTTTATTGGATCACTATGAGATACAGTCACAAAGCTTTCACGTTTGAGTTTCAGTCATACAATGATTGAACACTCATCCCTCCACCAATGCACATTTTCCACCACCAATATTCTCAGTATCCCCCCAATCCTCATCCCAACTCTCCTCCTGTCTCTATGGCAGACAATTTGTCCCAGACTCACTCTACTTTTGGACATTATGGTTTGCAGTACAGATACTGAGAGGCTATCACATTTGGTCCTTTATCTAATTTCAGCACACATCTCCCATCCCGAACGATTCCTCCAACCATCATTGACTTAGTGATTCCTTCTCTATTCCAGCTGCCTTCTCCCGCAGCTCATGAGGGAGGCTTCCAACTATGGAGCAATATTCCTGGTCCTTTTCTCTACTGTCCTTGGGTGTCAGTCTCATTATGTTATTTTATATTCTACAAATGAGTGCAGTCCTTCTATGTCTGCCCCTCTCTTTCTGACTCATTTCACTTAGCATGATA